TAACACAAATTGTATCGTTCGATACGAACAATAAATGAATAAGTACTTTAATTTTTCATCGGTAAGGCTTTTCTAACGAATCCTATCGGTTTGTTCAAACTATTTATTTACTAATAAACGACCAAATAATGAAAGATCGTTGAAGCAATTAACAGCGTCACGCGTAAGGTAGAACCTGCTAGTTTTACTTATGAAATCCGATACCTAACTCAAAACAGAACGCAATTTGTACCAAAAATATTACTAGCTATACAGAAACGAATATCTTTTAATACGCCGAAGGCTTTTCAACGAATGTCGAAAGTTTTAAAAGGTAAATGACCCGGGCCTCTTTCAATCTGTGAGAAGCTCTTGGTTCACGGTCGTTCATTGAGAAAAATGAACAGAAACGATTGCGCCACAATTCTTTTCGACGCATCGTGTCGACTGTTACTTGACAGAATTAGGAAAACCCGAAAGTGTGAACAGAAGATTAACGCAGGGAAAGAAACCCGATGACAAATTCTAATTAACTGAACATGAAAAAAATTACGAGAAAATGACTTCATGATTAATATAACTGAAGATGAACGAACTAGAATTTCCTTTGAATTGTTTCCTTGTTACTGAAGATAGTGAACGAATCTTTCGAACAATCTTAACGAACTAGAATTTCATTGAATTTTTATCTTATTACAGAAATTAGTAAAAGAGTCTCTTGACTTATTTTAACAAATTGTTAGAAAAACCGAAAAACAACAAGACTCAAATTTATCTTCGCAGATTTATTTAATATTGTTTAGTAGTAATTAATTGTATTATCGAATAGTATTTTTCTAGTAATAGTTTAATAAGTATCTTATAATAAAGCCAAAAAGTGCAACAAAGGGCGCGCATTGATAATAAAAAAAAAGAACATGGTTTTCCTTACGAATTAAACACCGAATATATTGACTGTCGTAGCAGATAGCAATCGAATGCAAAATATCGAAATTCTTATGTGATACGTGGACAGAATCCCATCGAACGATGAAAACGATTCACAAGGGATTTGCACCCCTATAGCGAGGCAACATCTCATTATCTCGTGATATACACGGTGAGTCACCCAACATTGTCACCCCAAACATTTTTATTACTTTTCGTACGAGAGGAAGAACGTATATATTATAATTTGAAGAATATCTTTTTTCAATATTGAAGAATCATCGGTGTTTTTCAATAGGATTTTACACGTTTCTTCTACAGTCTTTTAGCTGGATGCGAAAAATAATTTTCAAACAGGCTCAAGACAAACGTTTATATTGACTGAATATCGCAACAAATGACAGACGTTTCAAAAATGTTTAGAACGCTACATATTGTTTATACAAATTTTCCTAATCAAAGTTATAATGACTCGTTCAAAAATATATGTGTGACTTATTTAAAAAATCATAGATAACCAGCAAATCCCACACAACATGACGTTAAACATTTTTTACTGATTTGTATGAATTTTTTTAGCAAAAAAGGAATGTATATAATTTAATGAAACTTTGAGAGCATTATTGTAATTTCCTCAGCAAATATGAAAGATATAAGCTGCTACTGCTACCCATCGGAGGTCACCATCAAACGTAGGTGTTTTGTGTATGTTCCGGAGGCTACAGATTTCATCTGAAATCAATAAGGATTTAAATTTACTTTAAAGACATGTCTTTTTTCTATATGAACCTAAATTCTTCCCTAAGAAATTCTGTAATGCATTTTTAGAGGTGCTTAAACGAAAGGGCATAATTTTTTGCCATTTTTGTATAACGTTTCTTGCAATAAAAAGATAGTTTAAACAATGATATTACTCCAAAAGTAGGTTCTTATAGAAGAACGACATGTCTTTAAAATAAATTTAAATCCCTATTGATTTCGGATGAAAACTGTGGCCTTCAGAATGTACGCAAAACAGCTACGTTTGATATCTTCCATATTTTCCGAGAAAATACTTCCAAAAAATTACAATATTTACTTGAATATATGTATAAAATATTCTCAAAGTCTCATTAAATTATATATACTCCTTTCTTACTAAACAGATTCATGGAAATCACTAAAAACACGTAGTGCTAAACCCATTTCCCTCCTTAAACGATGATTTGTGGAGTGATAATGTTAGGTGTCTCGCCCTGTGTATTACTTTCCCACTTATCAACTACCTATATCCACAGTTGAATGTTTTACGTTCACGTACTCAGTCCTGGCAATTTTTAGAGATCAAAGTTTAATCGTATACAAGAATTGGAGAGAGAAGAGATGCGGGTGTCGAATGAATGAATACGTATACTGTATTGTTGTACGACTATTAACTAAAATTTAGATATTTACTAGAATTACTAGAACTACTAGATTTAGTAGAAATGTATATTGCTCATTATACGAACAATTTATTTTCTATCTGTATGTCAATGTTTTAGCCAATATTGTATTGTCCTCAAGTGTATAATAGTGTATCGAGAAATTTCTAAAAAATAATGATGTATCATTCGGGATAATGTTATATTTCAAGATGTATATCAGGATACATTGTTTAATAATTGTATATCCAAGATATATTTTATTCATCTACTCTTGTAAAATATATGGATGAACATCGCCTTACCACCAAATAAAATGAAAGACTATCTTTAAATACTATCATATAAATCTCCAACAACAAATTACCTATTTAATTTTCACAGAGTCACGCACAATTCAAAATCAAATAGATTCTTTACTCTTCAAAATAATATTTTTCTAAACAGTTCAACAATTTCTTCGATACACAATTTATTTGCTATACCTTTATGAAAGTTTACGGCAGTTACAAAAAGAATGTCAGACAATTTTACATGATGAAAAGAAACTTTCCGCATGGACGTACGACAAAGACGACGAGTCTGCGAATATAGCGAGACGAACAAAACTCCGAAACAATTTCAATCAACTTGTTCAGTCTTGTGGAACAAATATGACTGCGACTCGAGTTTCCAGCGAGAATAAACATTTATAGCTTCAATCAAAATACAAACATCGCCTACGCGATGTTCCCGCCTTTCAATCAGTTAATTTCAAAACTTTGTAAAGTTCGACGAAACAATCGCACGTTCGATGCTATTTCCTATGCACGCTAAAACTAATCTGCTTCACAAAACAACAACAATGTTAGCCGATACGGTAATAAATTCGAAACTCTTATTGATATAACAGACGTGACGGATATCAAAGCAAAATAAAGAATTAAAACACACAAGCGAGTACGAAACATAACCATATATCCACTTATGTAAAACGAAATATTAATATTATAATACTAATTAATGAAATAAATTTTACATACATTATACACATTTTTTTTATGTTTGTCATTGTACTATACGCCATAAATGCATGAAAGACGCACTATTTAATCTTCTACAATTATAAACAAAGCATTATTAATAAGGAAGAAAGAAAAACATTGGTATATTATATAACCAATCTATCTTTTAATAATAATTATATGAATTATTTTCAACGTTTTACTATTAATTCATACTTGAAAGAAGAATTCTTGAAAAGATACGTTTTCCTTAAGAATATTTATTTTATACAACAAATACTTGTGAATTGTTAGTCTTTTTACATATAATTCTAAATATGTTAAACCAATAAAGAAAATTTGTATTAGTTATTCTAATAATTTTTGTTCATTGATAGTAGCCATACTAAAATTGGTAAAATTATTAAAAATAAACAAAAGAAGATTTGTTTTATTAGTTTAACATGTCTACTATTCTGTGTAAAATGATTAAAATTCCTAATATCCCCTTAAAAGATCTTCTGAGAATACGGCTGTTTAAGATTGAAAACATTCATATATTACGAAATGTTTAAATATCGATGAATATAAAAAATTGTTTACAAAACCCGATATCCTTCATCCTTTATTAAGTATTGGTATACGCGAAATACAGCTACCTCCATTTGAAAAATAAAAGGGCATAAGAATCGACGTTATCAGTTAAGAAAAACTTGTGACGGAAATAATGCACGGGAAAAATTGCACATCACGTTTTTCATCCAAATGTGCAAATTTCGATTATTCGATTCATGCGTGGCTCGCCCAATTTGCATATTTTTACAAAACAAATATGGTACATATTCCAAATGCCGGACGTTCGCCAATACGTACCCGAGAACCGTTCATCTTTCAGAGCCCGCTATTGTCAACCATTATCAATGAAAGAAATCTTTAAACGGATAACTCTCGTAAAAGTTCGTAATTATCGCTCGCCTCAAAGCCTCCGCAGACCCTTCTGTACTCCTTCTATTTGCATTCTGCGTTGGGTGTCGTTACCTCGGAAACAAAAAAATCATTCACAACGACCTCCAGCCTTCCGAGAATTCATCACAGTTCACGCGTTTCGTAACGCTAATGTCTCACGACAGGGTAAAAATAAAGTTTATTCCTAATGTCAACCCACGATTAGCCAATTTAACCTACGATTACGTCTCATTACAATTAACGCTCTTATTCAGCTCGAAAGAAGACTCTATGGACAATGATGCATTAAAATTTCTTTCATCCTCGAGACGACTATAAATTTCATTTAATCCCTCGGCAAGTTCTGTACGAAGTTAGGTAGACTATCAAAGGTGATGCTTCACCCCCGTCGAAATGCAATAGGCCTATGATTATACGCCACGAAGATTCGTTATGTCAGGAAGTAATATCGCGTATCGAGTTACGCACACTGACCTCCGTATCCATTAACCCTCGCGAGACAGAGCGGCATTAGTGGATTTACCAAAAAGCTTTCTGCCAATAAATGTCAACCCAGTGATAACACATTATATACGAAGTTAAGCTTTATGACGGGTCGCCCTAACTTCGCGAGAAAGTGTTCCAGCTTGGTACACAGAAATCGACGAAACTCCAAATTATAGTGCATATAACATCGTACAATATCCAGGAGATTCTTTGCAAATAAAATCTTATCGTTGTTCAAGTTTACTCAAACGCTTACCATGAAGACGCTGTTGAACAACCGAAACAAGACCACTGTGCTGCACCATGTACATACACTTCGTTCGTTAGATAATGCAATTGTCTGCTTCACTTACTTGTCACTCACTTCTTGACAGACATTTCTTGACAGACGCGAAGTTAACAGATTCGAGGAAAACTGTACCGCGATGTTCGTCGTACGAGTGGTATCTATAAACTGAAGCACCGACGAAGCCACGCCACGCGACTACGGAACTACCCGCCAACCCGAGTCGCCCCGATTCACCCCGAAGCTGAACGAACTTACTCGAACAACGAACGAAGACAATCGACGCCTCGTCCCACATGTAAAAGAAACCATAGTCAAAGCAAAACGAAAAATATTAATCATATTACCATCTCGACAGTATGCAAATTAGAAAATCATTAAATTTTTTAAGGGGAAAAAAGTGTAACTCAAATATCACTTACCTCAAAAATGATCGTCTAGAGGTAATGAATTTTCTTACGTGACTAGTCAAGAAATGGAAGAGAATAATTGCTAAATTGTGTATTTTTATGATAGTCGATACCGTTACGATACCGTGCATAATTTCTTAGCAAATCTTCACGAAATACAGGGTGTCCGAAAAATGTTGTAACACATTGAAAGGAATAGTTCGGGAGGTGATTTTAAACAACTTTTTCCTTTACAAAAATGTCGGATGGAGCTTCGTTAAGGAGATATTAAGAGAAAACTCCGACCAATCAGAGCGTACGTATACCATTGGAGCGGCCGCGGTAGCGAAGCTAGCAATGGCGGGATTCTAATTTTAGTCTCTCGCTAATGCAAGGAACAAATTGCTATTCTAACGTTACAAAAACAAATCGTCACCTTACTACTGGGTGTTGCGATTAGGAATCCTGTGTCAATGAAAGATACATTCGCGAATATCTTCAAAAGTTTCAGTTGTTCGTTGAACGAACCACGCTCTCCAAGCAGTCCAAATCCAAATGGTCCAAACGCAGAGCGGGAATGGCGCAAGTCGGGTGAATTTCGAGGGACATTTGAAATTGAAACAGAGGGCGACACAGAGCCCGCGGTTCCGAGTTCGTAGTGAAAAATGGCCGGCGCCAACGATTGTTTCAGCATTGGGAGTACTGTGGCCTGTAAAACCTGTTACAAGGAGGAGATCGAAGGCGAAGTGCTAGCGTTCGATCCACAAACAAAAATGCTGATCCTAAGTATCCTTTTCTTATAAATTCCCTAAAAATATCGCCCTTCCCGACGAGTACTTGGATTCAGCGCTCATACATCGCTCGTTTATCATTGCCACAGTGTAAATGACTTTAGAGACATCTGCGACGGATTTTGTGATTTTTAATTAACGACAATTACGTTCTGTTTCATTCATTTTCACGGGCAATGTTTAATACCGCTTGTCAATTATTTGGTGATTTCTTAATCAGCTTCACGAAGTCAGGTTAGTTTCGTCACTCAATCAACCATGCTGGATTTTCCGTTCGTTTTATTTCTTTACTTATTCGTTCTCGAACGTATTTCCACGCACTATGGAGATACTTTCACCTTCGTTTCCCGCAAAAATTGCAAACAGAAACGCTTCCGGTCTGATAACAAACGTTAAAATATCTAACTTATAACCTTAGAATTTATTAAATGTTAGACACTGTGACAGGAATATTTATAAAACGAAAGTACATTCAACATTTAACTTCAACGATAACAATGATTCCTTAATTGACATTAATCAGAATGTCCATCTTCGAGTGGTGCACCAACGTTAAACGACGTACATATAGTAAATTTATCCTTGGTATCCGAGGTCCAAGTAAAGCGGGAAGTTAGCCCTACAACTAGTGAACCACCACAAAGCCTTAATTTGCAAAAGTTGAACAAAAGAGTACATAATCAAATTGAAGAGAAAAAGAAACTGGTAATGGCTCTGCAGGCCGGAGTATCTCCAGAGGGACAAAAACTCTTCAGTACTATATCAAAGACTATTCCGCAAATTACGTGGAACGGAGTAAATATCGTTGTATTTGATAATGTTACAATTAGACCTCCGTACAAAGTCGATAATGTTCATGGTAACACAGAATCTGGAGCATACAAGCATGTAAAGAAAGTAGTAAGTATTTTTAAGAAATAATGTATAATTCATAAATGATGATAATGTATAATTCGTTTATATTGTAACGTGTCAAACTTTGTAGGTTGAAAAACACATTAAAGATACAGAGGCATCTGCACAAGCACAACAACAACAACAGCGGGAACAACAGCAAAAGCAAAAAGGAGGTGCAATGCAATAAAAGTTCACAAAGGCACTATACCATGAACAAAGCTATCATGCTGTCACAGAAGTTCCAGTGTTTGGGGGAAAGTAGGAAACAATGATAACAGGATATAAAAGGAAACCATTACAAAACTACTACATAAGCCTATCATGAAAATCAGCGTCATAAAATTCGACATGTTTTGACAAAAGAGCACTTAAAGAAAACAAAGTGCAAATCGAATATTAGAATTCTAAATAAGTTTTGAATACATTGATCCCATCGTATGAGCAGCATTTTGTAAAGCAATGGAACGTGTCATACTCGATTTTTAACATAAAGCATACTCTTCGATGAAGAGTCTTGTTTATTTTATCTAACAAGCTGCCATACACCTTACGTTCTGCTGGAACTATTGTTCATATATGTGCTCTGATGCAGGTGTGTTTTAGTTTAGTTTTACATTGTTACAAATACGTTTAATAGTTGTTTACAGATCATTAATACACATCTTAAAATGATTTGATTACCATTGAAGTACGAATTTTTTCAAAGATAAATCGATCATCGCGGTATAATTTAAGTCCGTATGAAACGGTTCATTATTTTTAACTAGTGTCATAATTTAAATGTAAATGATCAACAAAAATTTTCATATATAATACCTACTTCAATATTGACTCAAATTTTACATTCATTCGCATACTATGATACATTTGTTTCAAATCGCCCATTTGGTACTATCGATTCTTTCGAAATTTGTAAACAAGAAAAAACGCAAACGTTACACTATATCACGCCTGCGTCAGCACGAGACGTTTTCGGTAGCAATATGACATTGTAAGATAAAAGGATATTCTCTTGTATAGAACGAGCTATACAATTGTTATTTAAGGAAACATCAACTTGATATGTGCAAGGGTGTGTGTGTCCCATACACTTAGAAGTAACTCCATTTGCAATGATAATGAACTTGTCTCGTGCTCTTTACTTTTTGAATGCAAAGAAAAGTCGGACAGAAAGAAAAGAAAATTATAAAATTAATTACATGAAAAGACAGAAATAAATGTAATATAAATTCTATGTTTCTTGTTTCAAGTTTATTATTCCTTTATCAGTGCTTTTATCAAAATTTGATATTACACCACTACATTATGTTTTCTGGAATAAAAATATTTCCTATAAAAACGATACAACCTTTATTCGATACTTTCGTCTAATTCCTCAATTGTTTCTGTAATATTTGTACTTCGTACAATCGCACTTAAGTCGTGAGTTACTCGAGCAATTCGAGCCGCAGCTTTAAACTTAATAGCCGCTCGTTGCTTCTCAGTTTTCTTTTTCCACTAAAAAAAAAAGTATTAAAGTCTTATTAAAAAACTAAATTATATCCTACTTTCTCTTTTGCGTGAAAAGTAGGGAATACATTTCTATATTTCTTTTTTTTTGTTATCTTGTAAGAAATAATTCGTAAAAACTGCACTATATCCTTTGATAGTCTGAAAAGATGTCTGCACTAATTTCAGCACCAACTGTTACACTACAATTTCCTATACATTTAGTGATTTTTTTGTATAATTACGCGTTTACATTTAACACTAAAATTACGTTAATATATTTATTTAGTAAATATAATTTGAATTGTTATTTATCTGAATATCAATTATTAAACTTACATTGAATATACGCAAAAAATATCACTAGGAATAACCTATCAAATAAAGACATTTCTAGTGAAAAAATTTGTTAAAGGTTTTACGTGGGTCTTTTCTAAATGCAGTTGGCATAAAAATTAACTAAATATGATGCTTCCCTCTCTACAAAAGTGGGAGAGAGATAGAGTAGGAGAGGAAGAATATCGTGGTTGAGTGTTTTGAGAGAACGTTTTAAGTTTGTACCCTATATCCGCGTTGCATGTGTAGTTTTATATTTTTGGTAAACAAATGAAGAAAGGTAATTCACGACAACTTTGTCAGAAATTATATATAATTCTAATTTTTCTATATGATATATCGTTTTATATACGATAATAACGATTTATTTCATTTTGGAGCGGAATGTTGTGATGACTAAAATTTTGACAAAAACAATTCTAAGAAAGTGTTGCGAAGTGTTCCAAGTTCTGTTAAACCGACTATTTGTAAACAGTTTGCTTTATAAAGCTTGATAATCATTGCAAAACGTTTTTATTCAACAACGTGGCAAGTGTTTATCCTAACCTATTTCGATAGTGAACAAATCTGTGACTGGATTAGGAACTAAAAATATTCAATTCCAATTACGATATCATCCTTAAGAATTGACCAGAGAGCCATAGAGCAAAAACAAATGAGAAATATAATTTATTTTGTTTACGTGTGCAGTTTCTATGATATCATTGAAGATATGTACTGTTCATTCGATAACGAGATGAGTTGATGGCGTTAGAAATTGTTTACTTACATCCTCATCACGAGATGGTAAGTTTGCAACATATTCTTTCATTTTTTCTTTTTTGGGATCCACTATAGCTAACACAGATACACACCCATCGACTGTACCTAGAACTATGCTTTTACCATCATATGTACTATCAATTGCACTTAGCTCTGCTTGAACTCTGTAATTTGCTATCATTTCACAGTCCGATGATCTATGAATGCAAAAGATTGCTGAATTTTGTATATTTTATAAATGTAATGCCACATTTTTACCTAAATACGCGTATAGTTTTTCGTCCACTGTGGTAATAAAGAACATATTCATCTGTACGGTTGAACATGGATATTACAGTGAATACTCCCTCTGCTACTTTTGGTATATAAGTCATCACGCTAGTACCTTTTTTTAATTCTAGAAGCTCTAATCCTCCTCTACAACAACAAGAATATTAAATGCTTATATTATAACCATTTACACTTTAGAAAATCTACCTGCTGGGGGCGTATAATGTATATTTTCCATCTTTGCTAACATTTCCACTCCATTTTGGTATTGTACGAACAATTTTCTTTTTGTTTATATCCAAAATAATACCTTTGTCAGATCCAATTATTCCTATCCATTGTGGTTTATTTGGCATAGGAGTGATACATACGATATCCTATTAATATAAAGCTTATAAAAATATTTACATACAGTATATAAAAACAAACTATGCTATTTGATTACTATTTCTCTTACTTTAAATCCTGGCAATTTTATGGGAATTTTACTTATTAATGCACCTGTTTTCGCATTGTATATTATAACACAATCTCTGTTACCCTTATCGGCTGCTGGTGCTATCAAAAAGGAATTGTCAGAAGTGACTACAACATTTCTAAAGGGTACACCTGTTTGACTTCTGACTGGATACTCCAGTGAAAATGTTGTCTTTCCATCTAGCCATTAATATAAATAATTATCGAAACGGAATAATAGTAATAATTTCTAATGTGTCTATCAATTGCTAACATACCAGGAATTGTTCTTACGAAAAGGGTAGCAGTTGTTTTCATGTTTTCCACACCGACAGGATTCTTAGGTCTTGAAACAGCTACAAACTTTGATGAATTTTCCATTAACATTAACTGCCTCACATTTTGTTGTTCCTCTTTAAACAACACTTGCTCTGTAATTCTGTTCCATATTAATACATTGCCCGATTCTGTTGAAACGATATACCTAAAACGAGGTACCCTAATGTAGAATTTAGTCTAAACATATTTTTCTTTAATCGCTGTCAAACTACTGACTTGCCATCGTGGGTCATGCAAGCATGCGTAACAATTGCACCCAAAGGACTATCGGCTAACTTCGAAATCAACTTTCCTGTTTGCAAGTCCCAAATTCCCACGCAGTCTCTAGTGACTATCGCCGCTAAGTTACATTCTTCCGCGAGACTGTTAGATTTCCATAGATTAGACGTAAAAATTGAATCATATATCTTTATAGAAATTAAAATTAAATTAAAAGACACGGTAGAGTACCTTATCATGTCTATCTGTAATTCGTGTCTATCTATTACATGAACTTGTTCGAAAATGTTATTTATATTCCATACTTTAACACTTCTATCGATACTCGAAGTAACAACACTGTTCCAGTTTCCGATAGTCAACGCTTCCAATTGAATAATTCTCGCAAAATGTGCGTCCAATATCTTTACCAATTCACTTGTTTCCAGACTCCAAACGTACAAGTTCTTCCTACGATAGGAACGCGTTTCGATTAATTCTGTAAAAATTACGCGTTGCTTGTTTAACGCATCGTAAAGCACACCTCACGCCAGCAATACCATACTTCTTCGTACCGCTGACCATAATCGAGTTTGAGCACATCATTCTAGTGCTGATGTTTCGAACCCCGTTTGGAAGCATTAAGACGTAAGCGTCGCTTTTATTTTCCAAAAACCAAACGATAAAACCATTGGCACTCGTGGCTAGAAGCATTTCTTCTTCTCTGTCTAATTTCAACTGCAACAAGTATTCAACGTCGTCGTTGAAAGCCCTGGGCATGTCAGAAACCATTTCCCATTGCGAGGACGTCTCATCGCACTTATACTTCGTCACTCGGTTGTCGCTTTTAGTTGTACAACCGTACAAAATCTTTTTATCGTTAGTCATCGCCAGAACGCTGCAAGATACTCGTCGATAGAAGTTTCGAATATTGATTTCGTGGACAATTAATTTTGTTACTTACCTGTGAAAATGCAGAGGATCCAATGATCCTTTCTTCCTGTACGTATGAAGAAGCATACTGGTATCCTCTATATCTCCAGACCAAAACACTACCCTGTAATCGTCTAAATTCGAGTGCTCCACGTCTGTGCGAGAATATACATTTCTCTATATAAATACGTTTCATTTGAAACGGACGATCGAACTCGTTGGTACTCACGCAGAATTGGCCATTTGTTGGAGTCCTCCGGGTTCGTGTGAGTCTCCAGTAAGTTTCCTCGTAAATCAAACCTACACCATCCTAGTTTACCGTAAACGAAGAAAAATTGATTCATCAGATGAACCCCGCACACTGGGTCGTCGTTTGGGAGCGGATTATCGATAGTAACGAATTCGCTCGTTAAAGTGTTCAACACGACGCTCTGTTAACAAAGATCAGGTGTAATTACGCTGAAAGTATCGATAATATCGGCTTTTGTCCCTGTAATGTTCCTTCGCTATCTTTTCACTAGATTTACTTTGAACTTATCTTTTACTTTTAATATAATTGCGTATTTTTGTGTATTCTTTTAACGAAAGTATCATTAATGGGTTCCGGTGTATTCTTTTAACGAAAGTATCATTAATGGATTCCGGAGGATTTTCTGGTTGAAACGAGCCCAAACGCGAGCTTAGTCGTTTCGTTTAAGATACAATAATTCCTCGATTTACTCTTTTTTCCCTCGTAATTAATAAAATAATCACCCTCTTGCCATGACGTTACAGTGACTCCTGTCTAAGAGGCCCGCCATTTTCCCCTTACGGCGGCTCTTAGACAGTATTCACCGTAACGTCATGGCAAGAGGGTGATTATTTTATTTCAGAAATTTGGTTGAGTCTTGCACTAATGGAAATTCAAACTCGTGTCCTTTTCATTATATCCCGACGAAAGTATTATAACTCTTTCAGTCGAAACCTGTATATAACAGCTTGAAACAATTTTTGAAATTTGTTTAACCCTTCGTTACAAGTAGAACGTAATATTGTAAACAAAAAAATTAAAATCGTCCTAAAGTAACTAAAAATCAAACGTGATCCTTATCGATACTCGTCCTTTACCTGGACGTCGCCTAACTACCTGATTATTGGTGGTGAACGCTGCGGCGTATCTGTTATCAGGACTCAGAACTAGATTTTGCATAATACCCTGTACACCAGGATTAATGTCCCTCGTCATGTCGCTGGTGCTCAGATCCCACGTGATGAATCGGTTGGATATCGAGACCACGTACCGATAGTCCGACGTTAAACAAAATCCGAACACAGCGAACTGGTGACCCTCCAGCGAATACTGAAACATACGCGGATTAGAAACGTTTCGTTGGCTCGTTCTAGTCGTCGAGTTACCTTCAACGGTCCTCCAGGGGTATGTAGACAGTGATAAACAGGAAGCAAAGCGCAATCCTTGGACCCGTCGTTATCGCACGCTCGAAGCAACATTTTCACGTTTACGTTACCCCCTATTTCAGGCAATAATCGCCCGATTAATTGGGGCGCGAGCATGTCAGGGTGAGAACCCAAAATCGCACCGCCCAATCTTAGCGCATCGGCTACCAGCATCAATTCTCTGGAAAAAAAAACCTCGCATATTGTCTCGATGGATAAAAAGGACGAAATCATTCTCCTTTCTCCTCTTATCATTAATTTAGTTCAAATTTTGCACATTCCTGGTCGTACGGCCATAAATATAAGGACAAAGTTCATTACTTTTAATCTACACTTTATTACGTATGTGTATCTGGTAACATTTTAAAATATTATTATTAGCAGTAATTATCACCCTCAATCTCCTGATTTAAATTCCATAGAGAAACTATTGAATCGTTTAGATAGAAAAGATATTACGAAACGAATGAAATAGTGTTACTTCAGATACAATGAAGAAATTAATAGCCAGGATGTCCAGATTGGTAAAGGAAGTTTGAAAAACACGTGGCAGATACCGTAGATGAAAAGTAAATTTGATTGTTTTTTATTATTACCGACGAGATATTAAATAAATTGTTGGTAAAATATATTCTCTAATGCAATACAAACTAATATTCATCAGTAGATTCGTAACTTTTACTTAGATATTTGCTCCAATGGAGAAAGTCTCCACATACTTGACGTTACAGTGACTTAATGTAACTTCAGTCAAAAAATAGTAAAAAATGATTTTCCAGAGGATGTACACTTCTTCTACGCGATCCTCTACACGATTTGCATTCGTGTTTTCGATTGAGAGACAGGCATCGTCGATTTTTAAAGATTTTGATTCGAGTTCTTTCTTGCGAATGTTAAGGTGTCGTTGGATGTTACCTGACAATGCTTTGGTTGTCGATGAAAGTACAAGCATCTTCGAAGTCGGCAAGCACGGCTTGCAACGGACAAGAACAGAGCTTAGCGTGGAGCCACTCGTAGTTGAACAAAACATTTTCGAAAAGATCGTTGAAACGTCGCGATCTGACCAGATGGAACGGCAGCTCGCCGAACTGAAAATTGAAAACGATTCAATGAGGGTAATATAGTCGAGATATTTCTCTTCACCTTTCTCAAATTGTATCTGGTGATGGTCCCCTCCTTCGAGTAGAACGCCAGCGGTTGTTCAGGTACTTTTCTGTCCGCCACGCCTTCCTTGTCTGCCAAGTTGAATCTGCGAATTCGATTTGTTTGAATTTCCAATCCGTCGAATTACAACTCATATAACCATCATAGAGGCCATACACGTTACAACGATGTATCGTATTATAGTAATTCTCCATTATATGCAAAAAATTGGGACCGCAGTTTTTCGTATAGTCTCATAAGTATTCGTGCTATATAGTATGTCCATTGAAAACATTTGTCTAAATTAAATGATTCGATATGTTATAGATGTTATAGATGTGATGGCGTATTCAAATTAATAACAAGTAGCGTAACGACGAATCAATTTACCTATGCCTTTGAATCTCAGTGTACTTGAACGGCTTAGGACGTCCGCCTCCCCAGATGCCGAGATAGTAATCGGCGATCATTGAGTGAAAATACATAGCCATGTTCATGTTCTTGAAGTATCTTTCCTTGGCTGTGTCCCTGAATTGTCTGTGGTACCAGTTGAGCACACTGACCCCGCCAGCTTCCCTTTCGCTCAAGTAATTCGGCAAATCGCTTCGTATTCTGGTCCACAGCAACGGCGGAATCCGCCTCACCGGTGGTAAATGGTATTGGTACACGTCGTCCAGCACTTTGTCGTCCAGAGAGATCAAATCCTCGAGCTCGGATTCGGATAAGCCAGATTTGGCGGCGGTGATGTAAGCCAACGCGTGGAACACCAAAATTTTCCCGTGCTGTTTCTCGATTCTCTCGAACAGCATCATAATGCTGTCCATCACGGTGCTGGTTAAATGAGTGTTCGCTGGTTTCGTGTAGCTCCTCCACCTGCAGATCTCGGCGAACACCAGCTTCACGAAAATCGGTAAAGAACACTTGGATATAGCATTGGCCACGAGACGCCACTGGTAGTTGTTCAGATCTCTGTGGGCTGTCCTCATCCACATCCTGTGGAAGTTATTTCTTGCGTCGTTTAACTTTTAATTATTCTCGAAGGGTTAGGATATTGGTCTCGGTTCTGGAAACTGTTATGAGTAGACTGCGAATATTCGTGTATTTGTGAGAAATGTAAATACAGGATGCGACCGAATAACATGTAGTAGCAGCCACAACGTGGTTCCTTATGAAAAAATAAGAACAATATATGCAATACAATTTTTTCATTTAAAGCTTAGTTTTCGAGAAAATCGAGTTTGAAAATCCTATTCGTACGTATTGCTGTTACGGCTAATTGTAAGTTGCGTAATTGACCGATTAAAATGTTAAAATAAATTTTTATTTTAAATTGTTAATTTAAATTAATTTAAATTGTTATTACATTATTGAATTGTGTCCGACTCATTTTGCTCCATTACTGTTACGACATCAAGATCTGAGAAATTAGATTGTCTATTTATATAAACACTACCGCACAAAATAATTGAGTGCAAATTACGAAAGAAACTTTTGGGACAACCTAATATATAAACATATGAATTTGCGTAATAGTGTGTTGCTAATAATAATATTCGTAGCATAAATAAGAGAACCAATGAGAACCCTAACCGATATAATATCGATTATAATTTTATGACTTCAAATTCAAAACCGATATTCATGAAAACCGTTATATTTATAAAACATCTAAATTTTATTCGATTCTCGCAACAATTTCAGTCAGAACCGATGCATTATAGTTTGAAATAGTTATTTCCAGAAACGTTTCGAATCCCAGCCTTCGTGCTCCTTGTACCTTATCACATCCATGGCTAGATCTTCGCCCAGAGCGACTACTTCGATGAAGCTCTCCTCTGCATCGATCATCCTACGTAGTAATTGGTAATCTCTCGAAATCACGGGATTCGATTCCTCGGCAGCGCAAGATAACATCATCTGAAATTCATCCAAGAGTTTCGCGCGTATTCGGAGTACTTTTAAGGGATGCAACCCCTTTCGAAGCATGAAAACATAGCTACAGTCAATCCCATAAATATTCGTACCCTCTGTGTCTATTGAAGATGTTCGACTAAATTAAATAATAGTTTTGATATTACTAAATGAAGTTTTCATTATAAATATTTATACGAATAAGCTTACACGTGTATATATTAGGTTGTCCGAAAAGTTTCTTTCGCTTTATTAATAAGTAATACATGAACAATAGTTTATATTTTATGTTACATTATTGAATTGTGTACGATTCATTTTGCTCCGTTACTGTTACAACATGAATATCTATGAAATTAGATTGTCTATTTATATAAACACGACCACATAAAATAATTGAGAGCAACTCGCGAAAGAAACTTTCGGGACAACCTAATATATTCAATAATTTTTATTTCGAAAACAATGGACCTAATGGAAGATCTGTCTATATAAAAGTTATCTGTTTATTATTCAATGTATGTACAATAAACGCCAACAAATAGATTCTCCATTAAGTCAATCGTTTTTACAAAAATAATTATTGGATACAGCAATGATTTTCACGCGTCCAAGATAGCTTTCTCTTGCAATGTTTCGGGTACCTTGCAATTCGACGGAAGTCTGGTGGGCAACCATGATAATTTATTTCCTTGCACCCCCGTCAGCTGATCGACGCTATCCAAGAATAATAGGATCGGTTGGTCTACCGTGGCTAAAGTCAGCAGGTATTTAAAGTAAGCCGTCAGCGGCACCAGGTCGTCGGGGATTTCTTCAAAGGGTAGCATGAAGTTGTAGGAAATCTACGTAAGGAAGAACGCCTCGGTTATGTCATTTGTCGACGTAAGTCGTAACCGCGTACTTACTTGCTGACAAATGGATATCAATGTGGGTGTCAGGGCACTACTGTCTGGAGTGGTGCCAAGAAATCGGATTATATTGATTGGCTTTTTTCCAGTGAGCCACGTGCCGCTCGTCAGGCCTGCACTCTTCGCTAATAAAGACGTCTTTCCACAGCCACCTTCCCCGTATAAAACCAAAGGTTTATCGCTGTCACCCATCATGTACTCTTTAATGGTTACCAAGGTGTCCTCTCGGCCGTAGAACACCTGGACATTTGGAACGGTTCATTGGCTTCGTGTAATGCTGAGAGTAATTAACCAATCGTTAAGCAGTTCAAATAAATGTTATATAATTTTGTATGAATTTGGCAAAGGACCTACAATTGGAAGAGTTATTCAGATGGTCTGGTTTAGGTGAACCTGTATATGATTACAGGTTCTAATAGTTTCAAAACTTCGGCAAAGAATGAGATAGTATTTACATCTTTCTGAAGTTTTGGTACGTTATGATTAGTTTTAAATGAATTAAATGGAACCTAACCATAGCCATTATTACGAGACATGCTGCGAAGACCTCGAATTAATTTTTAATCAATGTAATCATTATTAAACTATTCATTCCATTGTCAAACGTACAACTAACAAGTCCCTATAATAATATTAAACAATTGAAATAGATCAGAATTCGTGATCGGTTACTAGAATTTTAGCGAAAGCAACAGTTCTAAGATTTCTGAGGATAGTTACTACTTTCCTCGTACATGTTTAAAGTTTCTACTTTTGTCGTATCGAAAATAATTAAATATCAGGGATCTAGACACCTAGAGTGCCTGAGAAGAATTTCCAAAGAGATCTACCTTGACGGAATTGTTGCAAGCATGGAGATGCTGCAACATCTCCGTTATAATTTGTCCCTGCGCGGAGCTGTCTTCTTTTCTCATTGCGCGATCTACCAGTTTCACTATGTTTCGATAAAAGTGCGTTATGAAGTGCTGGAGGTACTCGCTATGCGTTTCTGGATCCAAACCCTCTCGTCCGATCCATTCTACGGTGTATCTGACGAGCGAAACATTATCAAAAGTCTATCATATAAAATGTTTGTGTAAAAACTCCGTTGCGTTATAATACCTCTCCAAATTTGTGCTTTCGATCTTGTCTGGAAGTCTTTCGTCCCTCAAATTCGCCAGAAGTTTCGCGGCCTCGTTGTCCAAGCTTCTATTCAATATGTCTAAGAACAAACTGGCTTTTCGCAAGTTTTGAAGATTTATATTGTTTATGTATCGCACGTACGCCAGACAGTGATTTTTCGTATTTTTAACGTTCAGAACACCGTTGATCACTTCTCTCTCGGTGACTGTGTACAAAAATTAAAAATTAACGAGCATAACGACGCATTTTAGTCTTGTGCAGCCTATACCTGACATAAAATAGTTGTGCATCGTGTCTTTGTCAAATTTTCCTGAGTTGTACAGAGACTGCGCTCCCTTCCTAAACAGTTTCTGCATTTTCACCATGGTGTCCCACCAAATCGCCTGGTCCTCTTGCTGCAGCTTCGGTATTCTCTGCATTGTACACGAATTTAGTACGCTGTTTAGCTTTTACTGGAGGAACCGAGCACATCTCCTTACTTTATTGTTGAAATTCTTCAGGATGGACGATATTGGTTGGAGGATACTCGTTGGTGGCACTGCGTTGCTATCCTTTTTGTACCATTTATCCAGAAGGCCCACGTCCATTCCCTGTGCCTCTAAGTCTGTCCTCAGCATTTCCAACTCAGAACTAAGAACGTACGTTGGGATAGGCCGATAACCATACTTCTGTCCCAGAAATACCTAAGGAAGCAAGAAAAGGTATACCTAGTCCTGCTCTGTTATTAAGTGCGGTTTTGAACTACCTTTAAAAAGTCAGAAACGTTGTCAGTTTTAATTAAACATAATTTATCTATAGAGTGAGAGTAAAGGATTTTCCATAAAAAGACTTTAAAATTTTGTTTTTAAGGGTGGAAGCTACCTTGAACACGTGGAAATCATATTTAACAATTATGCTTCAGAAAGCATTTAACTTAATAGAAGATCTGTTTGGCGGAGTTTATTTAAGAAAATAATTTTTGTTTCAATTTTTTAGATGAAATAGACACTACACAACAAATGTTTTTCGAATGAATTTTCCGTAAAATATACACTTCAACGTATGCTGCTAATTATTAATCCCTTTTTAGCTATGCTTCAGTATTCACCAACGAAAATGATTTCTATACAAGAGATATTAATTAGACTCGTCGATAGCGTCCCACGTTTCAAAAACGAATCTGTCCATTTTTTACCACAAAGTTGGGCCCCATCGAGAGCCTCTGACAATTTTCTATCTCCCTCATACAGAGTTCTGTGGTCATATGATCGTCGGTGGCCTCGTCCCTCACGCCCCATCTCATATCAACCACCTGCAATCACATCATTCGTTAATTAGTTGGTCATCCTCATTTCGATTTTCCTCGAGTTAAAATTAGAACGAAATTTCGAAGATCGAATTCTGAGGCAACCGATCGTACGCCAGTGTTGAAACTTTGGCAAGTTTTTTGCTCGTGTTTGCGCGGACCAGTACCTGGCACGACGAAAATCAATTGTTTCTTCAAGGACGACTGGTCGTGCTTACACGATACAGATTTTGGCAACCCTTTAGCAGCTATATCTACTCGGTTACACACGCAACATCTTTCTGATATCTATAGTAGAAATCAATATCTTCGGATGACGCATATTCGATCCCCTAATCCGACTGAATTTTTTGGCTAATCACCTGAAACTCTAATCCGTGTTTCTCTCTGCAGTAGTCCTTCAATTTGGGGTAGCATTGGGCCATGAGGGTGTTTCGCTCCATCGTTGTGTCTGTTTCGGATTTAAATTGTTCATTGATTGGGGAGGATTCAGACTTGCAATTCCATACAGCGAATAACTTTAGTATTTGGACACTTTACAATTTTACAAAAGATAAAGTAATTAAAGTATGTATTGCATTAAAATATTGAATCTAGTTAACAAAAGTGAAAAGTTTATGTATTAGATTTATAATGTTTCTTGCGAAATAAGTCTCAAACAAAACAACGTATTAATATGTTATTTCAACAATCAGTATTACTAATTTTGTTTTTATTGACGGAGCAATGGGCAACAATATGTATTCAAACCTCCTACAGAATAATTTGTACAAAAATGTAATAAACGAGGGATTCATAATACGTTCAAGTTTTATCAGGATGATGACTTAAAGCATACATCGTACAGTGTTGTGTCCTTTTGATTACTTTATCCTAAAAATTGTTAAGTCTCCGAATATTAAAATTAGTCACTGTAGATGTATCGACTTACCTGTGAAAGTCGAACTCGTAAATATTCTGACGATTTTAGAGCTAACAGCTGGCAGGGACTTCAGAGATCCCGCGAAGATCGAATCGATGACTGCTTCGTCCATGTTTTTATCAAGTGGGATTAGCCCACTTTGGCACCCTGAAATATCGCCTTTCTTTGAATTTATTTCTCTGAAGTTATACGTCATACACGAATTTTCTATTGAAATGCGTTTGCTCCTCAAGTCTCGAAGTACACAGAAATATTTTTGTTTTCTTAATATCTTAGCGCAACTAGCAGGATAACTGCGAGATAGTTCGACTTGAAATAAAAATAAAATATTTTATAAAACCGTTACATATTACCTTTAATAATATAAAAATAATTCCCTCTTTCAAGTAAATCAGATAAAAAATGTAGAAGCTACGCTGCACACCAATTTAAAAAAGATTCGTTTCTGGAGAAACGCATTTAAAGTTTTACGTTACTACATTAAACTTACGTTACGTTACTAAAGATTACGTTACGTGTATTAGTGCAGTATCAGTGCAGCGTGCAAGTAATTCAGCTCTAAAGTCTGTAATATTTCAAATTTCCAGTGAAGAATTTTTAATTAACTTCATTTTAGAGCATCGTTTAAGCACAACAAAACTTCGATATCGTTAAAGTTCCGAAGCCACCTAACCTGTTAATGTATACTCTGTTTTGAATATCCAATCAACTGTTTACCAACGAGTTCCTATTGCATCCTGTTACCCGTAACATTGCAAGGGTACTGAGATCGTCTCCAAAACTTCGCGAGCATTTATAGGGTGTGAATATATATCCATCCATCGCCAACATCTCCATACACACTTCCCACCCCCTACGCGAAGTCGATCACCAAGTTTCACAGTATCTTTCCGCTCGCAAAGTCAAACCCACTGGTTCGTCGGGACACCTAACAGCAAAGTTGTCGTGAAAACGAGTAAAGAATATTGGAACTTCAACCGAGCTGGACGATAGTAAGCACCCCAGTGGTTGCTAGGGGTTGTTTACAGAGCGCAAAGCGTGCCTCATTGATTTTAAGAAAACTATTATTCTATCGCACTTTGCGTTTTGCGATTCTCGACTGAACAATCTTTCAACTAGACTTCTGTCTAAATGCACTGTGCGTCCTCGAGAAACGAACAGCTACCGATTTCCATTCGAGAAAGAAATGAACTTGGTTGAATTTCGCGCAGATTTACTGATGGACCAGACGTAGCACGAACCGTGATTTGGATTAAACGATCAAAATGGCACCACCGGATCCAGTGACGCAAATGAACACGTACCGATCGTACGTGACCATGCTAGCCGATCCAGTCTCGAAAGACGAATTAAAACTGAAGGCCGCCCAAGAGTTGTCGGAGAACTTCGAGGTATATCGAACGAATCCTCTATCTAAAAAATCTCTGTCTCTTAAAAAATTAAGAGAAACCATTCCCTATACAATATTCTTCCCGCAGGTCATCATGTGCTCCTCGCAGTATCCGGCATTTCTTGATCACATGATGAAAATATTTTTAAAGATCCTCCAAGAAGGCGAGCCTCACTTCATATCGGAATACAACATTCAACAAGTTCGAAAGTTGATCTTAGAAATGATACACAGATTGCCCAGCAACGATTACTTGCGTCCGTACGTAAAACAGATTTTGAGCCTAATGTCGAAGCTCTTGGAGACCGATAACGAAGAGAACGTATTGGTCTGCTTGAGGATCATCATCGAGCTCCACAAACAGTACAAACCAACGTTCAATCCGGAGGTAAGCGAATGATCGTCGAAATCTTCGATCGACGTACAGTGTGAGCCACGATGCTACATATTTCAAAGCTCTCGAATGAAAGCTTTCGTGCTTAACAAATGCGAGGCATGTAACGAATTCTAAAACAGTGGATGTTAACGAAGAGTGCAGAGAATGTAATTGTGTGTGAATTTAAAAAGGACCTTAAAAATTATACTTGAAAATTTCTCGCGCTACTCGTTGATAGCTTTAAAAAACAATACTTATACGTTATAACGGAAATAAAAATGTTTCGGAATCCGTAATATTACTCACATTTGTTAGTCGTCAAAGTTTTCGTATGAAAGCGTTCAAATACGTCCATGTATCCGCACGACGCGTGGGTGTAAACATTCTGTTATTGCTTTCGCTCCTAGATACAGTATTTTCTGCAATTCGTGAAATCCGTGTACAGCGAGTTACCAAAGAATTTGCCAAAAATATTCGAGCCACGTCCACCGTTGAGGGTGAAAGACTTGTCGGAAATAAACATAGAAGCTCTCTTGAAGGAGACATTCACGATCACGGCCATACAAAGCGAGAAGAAAGCAGCGGACGGTACTGTCGTCACAGTAAGCATCGAACTTGTTTCATTGTCTGCTATGACAAAGTGCTCGGGGAATAATGACAGGAAACGTGTTCTGTTTCAGTACAATCTCATTCCTAAAGCAGTACTGTCCCTCAAAGTGCTCCAGGAACTGCCGATCATCGTTGTACTCATGAACCAATTATACAAGCAAAACGTTCACCAGGACGTGTCAGACTTTATTCCTCTCGTTATAACGACGATAACGTTGCAACCGAGCCCCCAACACAGAGCGTCGCCTGGATTCAACAAGGAAGTCTTCGTGGACTTCATGGGCGCGCAGATCAAGACTCTGTCGTTCTTGGCGTACGTAATCCGAGTCTACCAGGACGTGGTGTCGCAGCATAGTTCCATATTGGTGAAAGGTATCCTGGGCTTGTTCACCCTGTGCCCCATGGAAGTGGCACACCTGCGCAAGGAATTGGTGATCGCGTCGAGGCACATTCTGGCCACGGATCTGCGCAATAAATTCATCCCGCACATGGAGTGTTTCTTCGACGAGGATATATTCATAGGACGAGGTTGGACGACGCACGAGTCTCTCAGGCCGTTGGCGTACTCGACGCTCGCGGACTTGGTCCACCACGTTCGGTTGCTGTTACCACTGAGCGACGTCTCCAGAGCGGTGCATCTGTACAGCAAGAACCTGCTGGATCAAAGCCTCCCGACAGCCGTTCAAATGGTCTCCTGCAAGCTGCTGATGAATCTGGTCGACACCGTCAGACAAAGGTCCGATGCCGAAAACAGCACCCAGGGGAGAGAGCTACTGATGCGCATACTGCTAGTTTTCGTGTTGAAGTTTAAAACGATCGCGAAGATCTACATACCGATTCTGCGCAACAAGGCCAAACAACTGATGCCACCCGGCTTGGACATAAAAACGGAGGACGCTAAGGCCGTTATTCCAGACCTGAACGACGACAAAGACGCTGGGAAGTCGAAATTCGGGTTCCCTTCCTCTCAAGCGATGAGCTACAACGTGGCCGATTACAGGAACTTGGTGAAGAGTTTGGTTCACGGCGCAAAAGCTATCACGTCGAACTGCATCAACAGCAAGACCGGCGAGGCGACGCAATCCAACCAGTTTCAGTCCAAGGAGACGTTGGTGTACATCAAGCTGGTCAAATGGGCGCTGCCGGCGTTGGATATATACACAATAGGTCCTCCTACCATCGGCGCCGTCGCTCAACCTGGCCGACCGGCTCAGTCTCAGACGATACGCACGCGAGAAGAAAAGGAAGTCCTCGAGCTATTCGGAAACGTCTTCACCCAGATGAATCCGCAAACGTTCCAAGAAATATTCTCCACATCTATCGACTACATGGTCGAGAGGATCTTCAAGAACTGCGCGCTGCAGATCATCGGCAGCGCCTTTCTGTCGAGTCCCACGATATCGTCCACGTTCGCGACGATACTGGTCGAATATCTGCTGGAAAGGATGGGCGACATGGGCTCCAACGTGGAAAGGAGTAATTTGTACTTGAGGCTTTTCAAGCTCGTATTCGGCAGCGTGTCCCTTTTCCCTGCGGAAAACGAACACATGCTGAGGCCACACTTGAACCAGATCGTCAATCGAGCCATAGAGCTGGCCATGTCTGCGAAGGAACCGTACAATTATTTCCTACTGTTGCGTGCTTTGTTCAGATCCATCGGAGGCGGTTCCCACGACCTCCTGTATCAGGAGTTCCTACCGCTGCTTCCAAACATGTTGGAGGGACTGAACAGGCTACAATCTGGCCTGCACAGACAGCACATGAAGGATCTTTTCGTCGAATTGTGCTTGACAGTTCCTGTGAGACTCAGCTCTCTTCTGCCGTACCTTCCGATGCTGATGGACCCACTCGTTTCCGCTTTGAACGGAAGCTACTGCTTAGTCAGCCAGGGGTTGCGAACCCTCGAGCTCTGCGTGGATAATCTTCAACCTGATTTCCTCTACGAGCACATACAACCGGTTAGAGCAGACTTGATGCAGGCGCTTTGGAGGACTCTGCACAATCCCACCGATCAGGCTCACGTGGCGTTTCGCGTGCTGGGCAAGTTCGGCGGCGGGAACAGGAAGATGATGATCGAACCGCAGAAGTTGGAGTACAACGATCGAGAGACTAACTCGCCAGCTATCGTCGTTTACTTCCAGGAGCCTACCAAACCGATCGATTTCACGGTGGAAAAGGTTATCGAGACCGCCTTCAATGCGCTCAAATCGAACAACACCGACTCGTTCTATCGTAGACAATGCTGGGAAGTAATTAGTTGCTACCTGGCAGCCTCGCTCCGACTGGACGACAACAACGCCGTTCTGTACAAACTGTTCATGCATCCCAGCTTTAAAGAGGGTAAAATTCCTCATCAGCAGGGACCTCATTACAAATGCCCAGACACGGTCGCGAGGAACGTTCAACAGACAGCGTTGACTGGACTCTTCGTTGCAGCAGAGATCAAAGAATTGAGGCATTCGGTGTTGGGTACCGTGGTGTCGATCGTCAGGCATTACACAATGGTAGCGATTGCTCAGCAAGCCGGTCCCTTCTGTCTGACCGGAAGACAAATTCGCATGCAGGGTCAGGACCCTCTCGTCTTGATCGACGCTCTTGCCGTCATCATGGGCCACGAGGAGAAAGAGCTGTACAAATCCGGTCACTTGGCTCTAGTTTTGATCCTTGAAACCGCTACCAACATTCTGGGCTCGAAGGAACGGGCCTGCCAGTTACCACTGATGGAATACTTGGCTGAAAAGATGTGCTCCCTTTGCTACGAGCGTGCCTGGTACGCGAAATTAGGTGGATGCATAGCCATAAAGTTTCTTTTTGAGAGAATGGCGACGAAATGGGTGCTGAATCACTTGTTTGTCTTCCTGAAGGCTCTGATGTTCGTGATGATGGACCTGACCGAAGAAGTGTCCAACGGCGCCATTGACATGGCCAAGGCCAATTTGGAGAAGATGCTGAGAGTTTGCGTAAATCCTGGTATACAGGACGGAAACACGGAACTGATCGAGGCGCAGAACAAGAGCTTGTACGAAGTCACCCACGAGTTGGTGCGACAGGTGACGTCGCCGCACACGTTGGTGCGAGAACAAGCTATGGCGTCCTTACGACTGCTGGCTGAAATACAAAACAAAACCGTGACGGAAGTGATGGAGCCTCACAAGGAAGTCCTGGCAGATATGATTCCACCTAAGAAGCATTTGCTTCGTCATCAACCCGCGAACGCTCAAATCGGCTTGATGGATGGAAACACGTTCTGCACCACGTTGAATCCCCGACTCTTCACCATCGATCTGACGGTTATGGAGCACAAGGTATTCTTCCAGGAACTGCTGGCTCTCAGTGAAGCAGAGGACGCGAACTTGAACAAACTGCCTTGCTACAAATCCGTCTCGAACCTCATTCCTCTGAGGAAGTCGGCGTTAAAGGCGCTCGCTGCCTGCCACTACATCGTCGCTTGCCGCGAAAAGATTTTCGGGGTTCTTTACAAAGCTTTGGAGAAACCGAATGTGGAGCTGCAAGAAGCAGCCTTCGAGTGTATGCAGAAATTCATCGCTGGTTTCCAGATCGACATGGAGTCCGTTCACGCTATAATGCGACCGATGCTTTTGACTTTGGGCGATCACAGGAATCTGAGTCTCAATTGCGTGAAACGACTATCGTATTTGACGCAGCTGTTTCCCAGCACCTTTAGCATCACTCTTTGTGAGCAGCTGCTGCAACACTTGAAGAAGCTCTTGGAGAACTTGATACAAGCGCACAAAGGTATATCTAAGTCGGGTGAGAACGAGCAGAAGATAGCTACCATCATAGGGATCTTTCATGAGATTCCTGCGGCCACCCCAAAGTTCATCGACGTTCTGTGCAGGCTCGTGTTGCAAACGGAGAAATCGTTGATGGTGGAGGTGTCCAGCCCGTTTCGCATTCCCCTGATGAAGTTCCTTTTACGATATCCCACGGAGACCCTGAATTTGTTCTTGCACGACAACAACATCAAAGATCAGCAATGGAGCAGATACTTGGAGTTTCTTGTTAAACAGAAAGATGGCAAACCGTTCCGCGACGTGCTGCACAACAGCACGGCGAGACTGATAACGATGCTGCTCGCACATTCCCAAACGAACTCGAACTTGACGCACAGCGAGAAGAGCGAGCTTCAACATCAGGCTATCAAGATCATCGCCATATTAATTAAATTCGACGATCAATGGTTGTCGACGCAAAGTCAGTTGGTGGGAGCGCTGAAACAAATCTGGTGCAACGACGAGTACCAAGCGTTGCACAAAAAAGTCGAGAGCGTGGATTACTGTCATTGGAAGGAGCCCAAGCTAATCGTGAAGATTCTGTTGCACTACTTCCGCCACCATCCGAACGACATCGACCTGCTCTTCCAACTGCTGCGAGCAACTTGCGACAGGTTCATTCCCGATTTCCAGTTCTTACGGGACTTCTTGGAGCACACCGTAGCACAGGAGTACACGGTCGAGTGGAAACGTAGCGCCTTCTTCAGGTTCGTGGACCACTTCCCGACGAACAACCTCTCTCAAGAGCTGAAGGCCAACGTGTTGCAACTGATCGTGATCCCTTGCTTCGCTGTGAGCTTCGAGAGAGGCGAGGGCATGAAACTGGTTGGAGGTGCGCCTATGCCCTACCAAGATAACCCAGAAAACGTCGTATCGGTATTCATCAGCAAGATCATCGATCCAGATAATCCATTCGGTTCCGCCGACTGCGTTCGCATCTCTTTGCTCCAGTTCTCGTGTCTATTGGTGGAGCAAGCTTCTCAACACATTCACGACGTCACCAACAAAAGACAAGGCAACAAGTTACGCAGACTGATGACTTTTGCGTGGCCCTGTCTGTTGGGTAAAAATTGCGTCGATCCCACGACGAGATATCACGGTCATCTGCTTCTCAGTCACATAATCGCCAAGTTCGCCATTCACAAGAGAATCGTTCTCCAAGTGTTCCACAGTTTATTGAAAGCCCACGCACTGGACGCGAGAAACGTAGTTAGACAAGCGTTGGAAATTCTTACACCTGCCATGCCTGTGAGAATGGAAGACGGTAACACGATGCTGACCCATTGGACGAAGAAGATCATCGTGGAGGAGGGACATTCCATGCAACAGTTGTTTCACATTCTTCAATTGGTGGTCAGACATTATAAAGTGTACTATCCAGTGAGGCATCATTTGGTCCAGCATATAGTAAACTCGATTCAAAGATTAGGATTCAGTCCTACGGCTACGATCGAACACAGGAGATTGGCCGTCGAGTTGGCGGAAGTAATTATAAAATGGGAATTGCATAGAATCAAGGACGAGGCCGAGAGTGCGGATTCCGGTGGGAATAGGTCGACGTTGGGAGGATCTATGAAGAGACCGATAAACGACGATCCCACGGGAACTAAACGTATGACGACTCAAACGGCTACTGGCAGCGCCACGGTTCCCGTGATTTTGCCCAGGATAGAACCAGGATCGACAAAACCCATCGAGAGAGCGCACGCCGACGCGATCTTAAACTTTTTGCTTCGTTTGGCCTGTCAGGTAAACGACGTAACGACGATTCACGGGAATCCAGGTGAACAACTGTCCAGGCGTTGCGTGGCTTTGTTAAAAATGGCTCTGAAACCCGACGTTTGGCCGCAGTCGTGCGATCTGAAGTTAGCTTGGCTGGACAAAGTGCTCGCCAGCGTGGACAGTACTCAACCTAATTACGGTAACATCTGCACAGCTTTGGAAGTTCTGACGTTCCTGTTGGGCGTGATGAAAAGGGAACAAATCCTGGCGAGCTTCAAGCCTCTGCAACGCGGCGTAGGCGCCTGCATCGCGAGCAGCAACACAAAAGTGATTCGATTGGTTCACGGGCTGTTGTCGCGATTGATGACTATCTTTCCAGCAGAACCGGCGCCTTCCAGCGCTGCTCCTAAATACGAAGAATTAGACACCCTGTATACCACCGTTGGTAAATTTGTAGTTGACGGTTTGGCAACGTACGAGAAGAATACCGCAGCTACTCCCAGTACGTTGTTCGGCACGTTGATGATGCTGAAGGCTGCCTGCACGAACAATCAAAGTTACATTGATCGACTGATAACCCCTTTCATGAGAGTTCTGCACAGGATGGCCAAGGATCACCTCCATTCGACTCAGGCAGAGGCTAATCCGGTTGGCAGCGAGTTATTGATCTTAAGTTTGGATCTCGTGAAGAACCGCGTTGTGGTGATGGGCGTGGAAATGCGAAAATCGTTTATAGGCTCCATTCTGGTTGGGTTGATCGAGAAAACGCAGGACATAAAAGTGATGAAAGCGATTACCAAGATGCTCGAGGAATGGATGAAGAACAAGAACCCTATCGCGATGAATCAGGCGCCCAGCTTGCGAGAAAAGTCGATCCTTTTGGTAAAAATGATGCAGTACGTGGAGAAACGTTTTCCCGATGATTTAGAGTTGAACAGACAATTCTTGGAGCTCGTTAATTTCATTTATCGGGACGAAACTCTGAAATCGTCCGAGTTAACGTCGAAATTGGAGCCAGCATTTTTGTCAGGCCTACGATGCGTGCAGCCCCAGATACGAGCGAAATTCTTCGAGGTGTTCGACGGATCCATGAGAAGACGACTCCACGACAGACTTCTGTACATTATTTGCAGCCAGAGTTGGGACGCGATTGGTCCCCATTACTGGATCAAGCAATGCATCGAGCTGCTTCTCGTCACAGCGAATTCGTCCACTCAGATTCAGATGTCCAATCAGGACACGTTGCTGCCCAGCGTAACGTCTGTGATTAACATGACGGATAGCGAGGAGCACAAGAACTTCATGATATACACATCCATCAAAGAAGAACCTCAAGACATGTCGGACGCGGTCGACGTGAAAGACGAAATCTTGGACATGGACTTGTCCAACGTAGATTCAACAGCCGTTCCAGAAGAGATAACGAACGCTGGAAAGACAACGTTAACGCAGCTGATCGCAAAGCAAGGAGAGTTCATAGACTACGCCAAGAAGATAAGGACGGAGCAGTTGCTGTTGGCTGCGGCTCAACTTTGTCACATGGACACGAACTTGGCGGAACGCGTCTGGTTGGACACTTTCCCAAGGATATGGGGCATCCTGGATGAGCATCAACATAACACTCTAATCGCAGAAGTGGTGCCGTTTATTTGCAGTGGGACGCACGTTATTCAAAAAGATTGTCATCCAAGCGCGATCGCTACGTTCGTCGAAGCGATAGCGCACTGCAATCCTCCTGTGCCCATGCGACCAGCTTTGATGAAGTACCTAGGCAGATCGCACAACCTCTGGCACAGGATGACGCTGAGTCTCGAACAGATGGCGTTCGACAATGGGAACAACCAATTCAAGATCAAGAGGGAGTCGGACTGCTACGACTTTGAGCCTGACAACAGTCCACACGCTGAAATTTTGGACTCGTTATCGGATATGTACTCGCTATTGTGCGAGGAGGACATGTGGTCTGGTCTCTGGCAGAAGCACGCGCATTACAAGGAAACGCTTCAGGCGACCGCCCTTGAACAACAGGGATTTTTTGAACAAGCTCAAGGGGCATACGACGTGGCAATGACGAAATTCAAGCAGGATTATGTTTCGACACCGGCTCCGTTCAAGATACAACGCGAGGCGATGCTCTGGGAACAGCACTGGATAAGATGCGCGAAGGAATTGAATCAATGGGACTTGTTATTAGATTATGGCAGCAAGAAGGCGGAGAAGAATCCATTTTTAATTCTGGAGAGTTCTTGGCGCATTCCTAATTGGGCGATGATGAAGGAAGCTCTCGCCCAGGTGGAGCACAATTGCCCGAAGGAAATGGCTTGGAAGGTACAATAAATAATACTAACCCTTTGCTCTACGAGGTCAACTATAGCATGTCAAAATTAAGGATATTTCAATTGTGCAGAAGGCTAATACCTATTCTTTCTTTCATTTCTTTGTATTAATTTAATTGAAAATATATTCCCATAAATGTTACTTTTACAGGTAAACTTATATCGCGGTTTCCTAGCGATATGCAACAGCGAAGATCAACACCTGAACGCGGTAGAACGATACGTAGAACTGGCGTCTGGTCTGTGCATGCGTGAATGGCGTAGGTTGCCGCACATCGTGAGCCACGTGCACTTGCCGCTGCTTCAAGCTGCTCAACAGATAATGGAGCTGCAAGAAGCGATGCAAATTCATCAGGGATTGTTACACGGAAGAAGCACATCGTTGCACGATATGAAAGCAATCGTGAAAACCTGGAGGAATCGGCTGCCCGTGATAGCCGACGACCTAAGTCACTGGTCAGACATTTTTACCTGGCGGCAGCATCATTACACGTTTATCTCGAGTCATTACGATTCGCAACAGGATCAGACGACCAACCACTCGATGCTCGGCGTACACGCGTCTGTTCAGGCGATCATTCACTTTGGTAAAATAGCCAGAAAGCACAATCTTTGCGGCGTATGCTTAGATTCCTTGTCGCGGATTTACACGATACCTAGCGTTCCTATTGTCGACTGCTTTCAAAAGATCAGGCAGCAAGTGAAATGTTACCTCCAGATGGCTTCGGTTAGCGGAAAAAACGAATTACAGGAAGGTTTGGAAGTGATCGAGTCGACGAATCTTCGATACTTCACAAAGGAGATGACTGCCGAGTTCTATGCATTGAAAGGGATGTTGTTGTCGCAAATCGGTCGATCTGACGACGCGAATAAAGCCTTCTCCGCCGCGGTTCAGTTGCACGATACTTTGGTGAAAGCCTGGGCCTTGTGGGGCGATTACTTGGAGCACATATTCACGCGCGACGGCCGTCAGATATCCATTGGAATTTCGGCAATCACCTGCTTCCTTCACGCCTGTAGACACCAAAACGAGTCCAAGTCGAGAAAGTACTTAGCAAAGGTGTTGTGGCTGCTCACGTACGACGACGACAAGTCCTCTCTCATGGAGGCTGTAGACAAATACGCGGTAGGAGTTCCTCCGATTCAATGGCTACCCTGGATACCTCAGCTATTGATGTGCTTGGTTCGGCACGAGGGCAACGTTATCTTGAATTTGCTAAGCCAAGTTGGAAGAGTGTTTCCGCAAGCTGTTTACTTCTCTATTAGAACTCTATACCTCACATTGAAGATTGAACAACGCGAAAGGTACAAGAGTGCAGAATTGGCCGCTGGGAAGAACCAAGAAGGTGTCGAAGGACGTGGAACCGCTGGAAATATACAGCAACAAGGAGTCCCTGAAACCGGGCCAATTCGAGCCACTCCGCCAATGTGGAGGTGCTCGAAGATCATGCACATGCAAAGGGACATTCATCCTACAATTTTGTCTAGTTTGGAGGGTATCGTGGATCAGGTTAGACTAAATCACACTTTATTAGAAATGATCGAAAGTTGCATATTATAGCCCCATAATTCAATCATTTTTGTCCGAGTAAACTTTCATTCACTATTCGTTATCCGAATGAAATTGTTCCTAACACTAAAGTGGATTTAACTGATGTGTTCCAGATGGTATGGTTCCGTGAAACATGGTACGAGGAAGTTCTAAGGCAGCTCCGGCAAGGTTTAGCCAAATGCTACGCGATTGCATTCGAGAACCGCGGTGCTGTGAGCGAGGCTACCATAACTCCTCACACGTTGAACTTCGTAAAGAAGCTGGTCTCGACTTTCGGGATAGGAATTGGTAAGACGGACGTCCGGATTTCTCTAATTTTCCGAACGAAATAAATTGTCTAGAACGATTTCTATAAATCGTAGAAAACATATCCTCATCTCAAAACGTGAACAACACATTTGGCTCAGCGGCTTCAGAATCCTTGGCGCGCAGGGCACAAGCTACCGTCCAGGATCCCGTTTTCCAGAAGATGAAAGGTCAATTCACTAGCGACTTCGATTTTACCGTTCCTGGGGCGAGGTTACTTCACAATCTAATCAGCAAGCTTAAGAAGTGGATTAAAATTCTCGAGGGAAAGACGAAACAATTACCTAAGTAAGTATTGTTTAACGAAAGTCTCGGTTAGTATGAACCATGAATCTCCATTTTACTTGTAAACAGTGATTGATCAACAAAATATGCTCAACAGATCATTTCTAATCGAAGAAAAGTGCCGATTTCTCAGCAACTTCAGTCTGAAAACCGCCGAGGTCGAGCTTCCTGGTGAATTTTTATTGCCCAAGCACTCTCACTACTACGTAAGGATAGCCAGGTTCATGCCAAGGGTTGAAGTTGTCCAACGGCACAACACTGCAGCCAGGAGGTTGCGTATTCGTGGACACAACGGTCGTTTGTATCCCTACTTGGTGGTCAACGACGCAGGACTTGGGGACGCAAGACGCGAAGAACGTGTTCTCCAATTGTTGCGAATGTTGAACCACTACCTGGCTAAGCAGAAAGAAACTTCTAGGAGGTTCTTACACTTCACCGTGCCTCGCGTTGTCGCGGTTTCGCCGCAAATGCGGCTCGTCGAAGACAACCCAGCATCGGTTTCTTTATTAGACATTTACAAACAAGGCTGTGCGAAATTAGGAATAGAACACGACGCGCCCATAGCTAGGTATTACGATAGATTAGCTACGGTGCAAGCTAGGGGGGCGCAAGCGAGTCATCAAGTTTTAAGGGACATCCTAAAAGAAGTGCAAACAACGATGGTGGCCAGGACTATGCTCAAAGACTGGGCGGTAAAAACTTTTCCGGGTGCAACGGATTATTGGACATTCAGAAAAATGGTAATGCATTAAAGAAGGAATACCACGGTAACAATCCAAAAAAAAGTCACTTTTAAAGCTTTTACCATGGTGTTTCCCTTTAAAGTATGCTTCGTTATTCAATTCCTAAATATTTAAACGCGTTTCTGTGTTACAGTTTACTTTACAATTGTCCTTGGCTTGTTTCGCGGAATACGTGCTTCACCTGACGAGATTAAACCCAGACATGATGTACGTGCATCAGGACTCGGGGCTCATCAACATCGCTTACTTCAAGTTCGACGTTGATGACACGTCGGGTGAACTGGATGCCAACAGGCCTGTTCCATTCCGCTTGACACCAAATATCCTCGAGTTCCTCACAAGTACAGGTTTGTAGAATTTATTCAACGATAAGAGTGTAGATAGAGTTTAAACGGTAGAAAAAAGGAATCGAATTTGATATCGTGACACGAACATTGTGTCTAGAAAAAAGTCACAGAATGGCCTGTCATTGCGATTATTAACGCAATAATGTATTAAATTAAATGATCTCATACAGGTGTTTCCGGGCCGTTAACTGCTAGCGCCATTGCTACCGCGCGTTGCTTAGTGCAACCATCATTCAAAGTGCACACGATACTACGTGCCATTTTGCGTGACGAAGTAATCGCAGATCATAACAAGAAACAAGAGGACGCAGAGAATGCATCTCAAGTTCCGACCGACATGAAAGGCGAACTTTTAATAGCGATGGTCAGCCGTGCAGTTTCAGCAATCGTTGGGAGGCTCAACTCTTTGGCCAACTTTGATGGAACTGACAGCAAGGTCAGCACATTGGTTGCTGCAGCCAATAGTCACGACAACCTGTGCAGAATGGATCCGTCTTGGCATCCGTGGTTGTAAACACATACTTTGACGGGCTTAATCGTGCTTCCAATATAAACAAATACAGAGAACACTGGTGGACATAGATGTTTCTCTCAGTTTCTGTGCAAAATCTGTATTATTTGTATTAATTTGGATTTTATGCGAGAAACATCGATGTCCATGAATACTCTCTGTCCTTTGGATCTTTTGATTTATACGGTTTCTTTTAAAATACTATTGCTTTTCTGTCATTTCAGTCGCAAGAAATACTATTTTTCATGTAAATACTACGTAGAGATGTAAGAAATTACTTACAAGACACGTTTTTAGTTGTGGCGGACAGAATCATTTGATTTTACGTTTCTAGAATCGACTTACTTCAATCATTTATCCGCGTACAACTTGTTTATATAATGTAAAAATTCTCATTTTCGAGAATACTCCATGTATCATTTATTGTACATAATTTTAAATGTAAGAGTTATTTATAGATCTGTTTATAAATTTAAAGAAAAAGAAAAAAACAAAGAATAAAATGTCCAAACTAATTACTCATTTTCCGATCCTACTATAAGTTTTTAGTCATTGAGAGAAATAAAGGAAAGGCATTTAAAACGACAAAATTAAATCGTATTAAATTCGTATATTTTAAAATAATTATATAATCGATGTCTCACTATTATTTATACTTGTTCCTTTCAATGAATCATCGTTCGAAAGAGTAATCTGATTTAAAAATATTATCAGCGCTACTTCGTAGGTTTTAGAGTGATATTTCGCAGCATGCACAAATCTCGCGCTGTTGCTTTTCGTCCAACTGCTGTCTGAATATCGTAAAATCTTAACAAAATGTCAGTCGTAAATAATTCGGGCAGTGCTTTTAAAAGACAAGGGACCTAAAATTCAACCACAACAGTGAAAATTTGATCTTTTAATCATTGCGAACATAGTAACTAAAATTATAACCTACCAATGTCTGAGGCATCCCTTGCAATACGATGCGAGTTCTATCTTTTCCGCATTGTACCATCAGACGTAAAAATTGAAGTATAAAATGAGTTTGTTGGGACACTTCACCGTCTCTACCAGCTAAAAACGTAAATATCGTGAACAATCCATTTAACGCCGATAACAGGGGATCCCTCAATACAAACAATGTTTGTCCGTTAGTCGGCCCCTGAGCTTGGGGACTTTGCGAACCAAAAATAGGATTGGAATCTCCTGATTCGTTTAATCTGAGAATCTTATTCGCTGGCACTCCAAGAGCGTCAAGTTCGTCGGCATCTAAATCTCGTCGCACGCGTTTTCTACTATTTCCGCGACATGGATTCGAATTGTTATATTCTAACGTAGAATATATACAATACACGCATAGTTTTGCTAAAATCGAGGACTGTGGCTCAACGAGTTCTTCGCTCCTATGAGAAATACAACAAAATATATTAAGCTTTAAAAATGAAAGCATAAACAATTGCTTATTAAAATTGAGTAGAACTTACTGTAACGAATTGTATAAATATTGTGGAATGATATGGTTAATAAGATCTAAGGTACAGTTCTCAATGTCAAGGTGGAAAATGGCGAACGCTAAGTCTACGGCTTGATCTAACTCCTGCTGGTAAGGATATTTTAATACTTCTTTCACTATGTTTGAAACAAACCATAGCGAACCGCCAGTGTTCAATAAAGATTCTAAAGACTGTGTTGCTTCAATATTTATCCACCCCCGTTGATTGACGTTTTTCCATACGGTTTCCAATTGTTCCAATATCGGTTGTCTGGATATAATGCTAAGACAAATAAAAACTATTCGTAGCGCTGATATAAATTTAGGTTAATTCAAATGGAAACAGGTGACATACCTATGAGACATCGAAAGTACCTTCGTTTTCGATTGCGTGGGTGGATGAACATCGTACTGCATTTTACGAATGATTTGAGACATTAAACTGGACCTAAGGGAGCAAAATTCTGCTTTAATACAAGAGACTTACATTTTTTTTTCTATGTACTAACCGTTCTTTAAGATTGTCCTGCATTTCGTCCCCAGGGAGAGGCGTTAAAAAATGTTGCACCATGTTCATTGGCTTCAAAAGGGCATCTTGATGAGTGATACTCATATATGCGCAAAGCCAAGCTGCTGCACAAACGGGTAAACAGCAGGCAGTGGCGCGTAAACCGTCTAAAGCTCTCTTAACGTCGCCAGCACCGAGTACATCACTTTCCCAAGCACAAAGAAGCTCTTTCACGGCACCCATAGCCGATTGACACGCGATGTGCCATTTTATATTACTCGATTTAAAGTCGGGGTCCGGGGAATTGATTTGCGCCAGCAACGCATCTACCCTAGCAGGATCAATATTTTGTAACATCTTTTGAGGTGACTTTGGTTGGTTTCGTTCCGGCATACATTCGCGTACCCATTGCTCGAAAAAGGAATCACCTCCTCCTTCCTCTAGAACGGCCTGAAAAATATAATCAACTCGGTTACATTGTAACAAGTTTAATACAGGGTCCTTATGTTTTAAACTTACATCAGACCCGTACGTTTGCACTATAGAACAAAGCATTAGAAATGATACGTCGAATAACATCGCTCTGGTTGCGGCAGTCTTTGGTGGTACAGGTTCGTTAATTTGTTTACTACATTCGTTGAATTTGATTAATTTGGTAACAAAAGTCTTCAGTTTGCCTTCCACAGTCGCCACAGCTAACATCAGTTCAAAACTCTTTCCAGTTAATACCTGATACAACATGCTCAGCAATGCCTCGTGGATCTTTGTGTAATCGGCGTTGAGCGTCTTCAATATTCCAGATAATGTAGGCTCGGCTCGCACGATTACTTTTGGAATAGAGGTCGTCAACGTAGAAGATTCTAATTTTTGCAAAGTTGCTGTAACACCCTCTCTGAAATAATGTTGACACAAGAAATGAGTGATATATGTATGTTCAAAGTTATTTTGAAAAAAAATTGTATTACCTTCGACTACTTAATTGCATGGCCTGTTTTTCCGTGACTAAATTCACTTTTTGCAATGCATTTAACAAACACTCGACACTGTTACAAGAACATGCTGTGTCCATTATATCGAGAAGCGGTGTAAATTGGAGCAAAAGTTCGAACGCATCTAGAATATCTTGAGAATATTCTAATTTATTATCACCTATTGAATCATTGATTTATGAAACTTAATATGTATATCGTATACTTATGTTATTAATACGGAAAACAATGCTATTAGGATTTATCACTAACCGTTCGAATGTGCAACATGTAGTTCCTTTAAAATAAGAGGTACCTTCAAAAAGGTGAAAGCACCCCACTGCGACTCTTTGAATGTACTCGTAACGTTATGTAGAGACATTAAACACGCACGAATTATTTCACAATACAATCTAGCGTTTGTGTAATTTTTAAGTCTTTGGACCATTAATAATTGATTAACAAATACAGTCGTCTCTGTGCTAGGATTTAATAGCACTTGAACTGCAAATAATGGCTGCAGGCAGTGTGTTATGGACTCCATTTGAGTCATTTCAGAAGACAGAGCTAGGCATTCGATCTCCAAATTGCACAGTTTTTTAAGAGATTCTTCAACTGGCACAGAAGACTTTAAACTACTAGTCTTCAATAAAGCTTCGATCTCTTGGCATTTTTTCACAACCTCTTTGTACAAATCTGAAAGTACAATTTTTATATTATACACACTGAAAAGAGTATTTTGTTGTATAAGAGATATTCTTATACAACCATTGTGATTCCATTTGTGATTACCTTTGTCATCATATTTGGCTAAGTACATCATCGCGCAAAGAAAATCCGAACTAAGCATTTGTTTTAATATACTTGCAGGTTTATCCATTAGTTCGGTTGGTTGTGGAGTCAGTGGACTGTTCTGAGGCATTTTTGTTAAAGTATGCAAATAACATTGTAACAACCAATGTACAATAGATAACACTGCAGCTGCCAAAAGATCTTCTTCTGATTTACCACGACAAGTTATACCTATTTGTATAGACTCCAAGAATTCTAGTAAACTTAAGATACAGTGGGGCTTATGAAAGGCATCGTATTTGCTTATCCGTTGCAATACAGCAGCATAGGAGACCAACTGTAATTAGATTTATACTTGTAAATACTGCATCAACAGCAAACAGCTAACAATTATACATACCTGAGAACTCAAAGAATGTTTCAGGTAAGAGAGCACTAACTGATTAGGACCTAATCCTACTAATGCCTGTTGCAATATACAGTCTGCTAAATTATATACATCTCCACTAACACCTCTTGGTAAAATCTAATGGTAATGTATAAATAATTATTTTCAAGTATATATACAAGGTTTTCCAAAAGGAACTTTATCCACTCCAAAAGTACTACTTACTGTTTTTATATTAATACCCCATTGTAAATCACTCCAGCGTTCTCTCCATGCTCGTAACAAAAGAGCTTTCAAACTACTGGTTTTACTTGTTACTTTAGTCTCCATAGTTGATGTTAAAAGATTACACATAATTTTTCCTACATAAGTAATGTCTGTAACATTACAAACTATCGTAATTATAAATAATACAGAACAAATATTATGATCTAGATTACTCGATATGCAATTAAATAAAATTTACTGTACAAAATACACAAATTACTTTTCAGTAATTAAACTAGGTATACATTCAACAACATTTAATATCGGAATACGTAACCTTCTATGTATCCAAAAGATACAATAGTTTATACTTGTTTTGCCTACTTCATTTCATAAAATTTAATTATTTAATAAATTACTGGCATCTTTTCAATCGGTTTTTCAGTTGTAACCTTTCCACAGCCGACATGATCAGCGTTCATCAGCGTCATGTGGCATCTGGTCACTGAACTATACTGAACTATATTTGACTATACTAATGTACCCGTGGTGCCATCGGTGGAAAACCGCCCAAGTTTGTAATGAAAGTAGTTTTCACCATTTCTCTAAGATGACGCCACCGATAAGTTTTAATGAATTATTCTTTATTTTTCATAAATGTATAATTAATACGATTCTTTGCTTTGTAACACTACAATATATTATTTCAATATATTGTTTAATCATTCACCTGCTTTTACATATGTACCCAGGTCTATAAATTCAGACTGTGTATCTATGTATAATCATCACTATTTGCAGTAAACGTAACGCAAATGTATTTTCCCTAAAAATAGCTTTACTTTACATAAAAAAAATAAAGGTATAAAATAATAAAATGATAAGAGCATGTGTTAATATGTTACATTTATCATTTTTATGAACAGTTATTTAATGCAGTAACAATTATCGATCCTTGGTTAGTGAGTAGCAATAACAGTGGGACCTATTTTCGCTACGAACTTGCATGTTTTCCCACCGATGGCGCCATTGATTCGAAACTACTTATACTAAATATATATTTCATTATTTTATAAACGTCAATTAACAAAATTTTCGTCTAGTATCGATCGCGTCTATTTCACAAAAATTTCATGTATCTCGTAACGAAAGCACATATACAAGATGTATATTTGAAAGTACATATCCTATCACGAACGTTTTCCTTTTTTAAACAATTCAAAATTTCGTAAGTTCATAACAGCCGTCAGTTATCATAAATTACAACGCTGTATAAAAATTTAAATTTCCGAAAGGTTAAGTAAAATATTCACACATACTTGGAATTTACATCGTTTTAATATTAAAACTTAATCAAAAATTAGGAATTGTTTACTGTTTAATTAAAATTCATATTGTATTGTATTCGTAGCAGTGTTTTTCACAAAAAATGGGCGTGTGCGCAAGAAGAGCACGCACACTAACTGGATGTTACGTTTTTTCGTGGCAAGGATGGAGTTTCCTTGTCTTTATTGGAATCCTGATAGCGATTGGATTATTTTATTATAATTATGTGCATGTAGGTGTATACTTCTTATGCTTTTCACGTAACCCTTTTTCATCTTATACTGGAATAATTGGGTTTCATCAAAACTCTAATGATAGGTGTTCCCTTTACAAATTTATTTTCCTTCCTTCTAAACGTTGTTTCAAATTTTTATACGTTCTTTTTTTAACAACTTTTATTGCAATATTTCAATGTCATTCTTATTCGTGAGATATAACTTTTCACATTATAGAATATAACACAAAATATAAAATATGACGCGTTCAGTAAAAAGAACGTTTATTTTTCGATTGCTTCAATTATTTAAGCGTTGAGTCGCGACAAATGTAACCTTTGAATATTTCTGTTAAAACTGAGAAAGGGAAAAATGTGAAGGAAGAAAGTTATATCGTTCGAAGGGGCAAATACAGTGATATAAACAGATCTTCTACTTGATATTATCTTCAAAGCTATTAAAAGGTTATCGGTATTTTTTAAATGGCACCATGTATTTTTAATTGGATTGCATAATAGCTAATATCAAGGCCAGTTTATCTGCACAGAATACCACGACCTTGAAATGACCTAGGACTAAAAGATTTATAATCAAGTAATGTCAACTTTAAAACGTGCAATTGTTTGAATTAAAGTAAATTTTTTAAATGATAACCATCAGCAATAACACAAATCTGTCGTCGGATCTCAATAAATGGCAATGACAGTTTGTATACGTACTCGTAGTTTGTATACAATTATGTTTGTGTACACTTTGAGATCACTTACAGTTAATGGTACACATATTAATTACTACGAATGAAACCTAATATCTTAAAACTCCAAGTCTCATAATTAATATTTAATATTACAATCGAGCTTAACATTTCAAGTCCAAAATCATCTCAAGGTCATATCGTATATCGTTAAATTCGCCTTAATATTAGTTACTACTCTGTGATATAATCTTGAAATTGATTTTAAAAAGTTATAAATTATGGTATGTCGTACGAATAACGCTGATGATCGAAAATGTCAATTTTTTAACCTGACAAATATGTTACAGAAATCCTGAGCTCGACGTGGACATCTATCCCAGTATACCTGACCCTTCTCGAAGTCAAAAGGAAGGGAGAAAGGGAGAAAGGCCGATGACCTAATGTATGTTATAATAGGGTCCGCGGGGGTATAGATTTCACCTTGAATTCCATCGTGTGTAAACCCTACGTTCAATGCTTCCGAGCAATGGTAAACACGATATAAGAATATCGTTTGCTTTCAACGATCAAGAAGCGTCAAGATTACAAATTTACTAAAGCGTGTAGCATAGTACTTGAATTTCACAATAAATCATTAAAGTCTATAAAATAAATGGAAAGTCAAAGCTTGCATCGTTTTCAGATATTATTTCAATTTCAATTCACATTGGGGAGTAATAAAACATTTTTGTTTTTGAGAATTATTTTTAAGTTTAACGTAATGTTTTGTTGTAAACATAACGCATGTTAAGTCTATGAAGATAAGCATTTAATTCCTTACGACGATTTACCCAAGGACAAAGGAGCATTTTTTTTTTTTTTTTTTTTTTTTTTTTTTTTTATGGCCTCCTGTGTGCGTTCAAAATTTTATTGGAACCTTTCGAGCTACGACAAAGTAAACGTTCAGATGGATAGACAGGCAGGCAGACGAGCAATAATTCTGAAAATAAATTTGTTGGCTTCGGTACCGTTAACCAAACCCAAAAATATCAAAAATTCGAGAAGCAACAAAGTTACTAAAATACTTACCATTACAGATTTATTTATATGCATAAATATAATAAAAAGCAAGTCTCTTTTGTTTGCGATTCTTAGGGATATACTTAGCGACAAACTGTGATTCACCGTACAAAATACGTTGTACAGTTATAATCAACCGAAATCGATTAATCTGATGCAATATCAAGGTTCACGAACATAACTCCGGTTTTATTATTCTCCGTACATCTACGCAATCATTATTTCAATTCTAAATCGTATAAAAATCAATTTTACATTAGCTGCAAACATATCAAGTTTCCTAAAGCCCTTTATACATAGTAAGCATTTGAACAATCAATTTTTAGTCGTCAATCGTCAAAGTAAAACGTGCAAACTTTCGACTCCCTCTGACGTAATCGCAAAACGGAATGAATATTTCGCCCAACAGGTCGCAATTATTTCATCACATTCAAAATGCGACACGCCCGTGTCGACTCCGAATCTCGAGGAATCGACCTATTGCTGCACTAGCCTGATCGACCAATCGCTGGCCCACAAGCTCAGTGACGTACCTAAAAAATGAGCAAGGGGAGACGCCAGACCATAAAAAAATTAGTAAATAAGGAAAATTAGTAAACTATTAGTGGTTGATTCGACTCTAAGCTTGTGTTAAAAAAAAAGAGCTTAATGTAATGGAGCAAGTCAAATTTGTTATAAAATATGCTTAAAAGCACACTTTTATAAAATACAATTTTTATTTAATTTATATCAAATATTTAGAAACATGGTTACGAATAATATACCGAGAAAGTGTAAGAGTAAAGGTATGATTAAGGAAAGTAAATGAAAAACTTCTTATTTGGTAAAAAATATTTCGTCATTTATTTACAAAATATTATGCCTGTGTGTAAAAAAAGAAAAGTTATCCACTAGCGCGGGTGATTTTGGCTCTCCTGGTAATCTGAAACACATAATCGAAAAAGTTTATTAAACTATGTCGTCGCACCTATGGTCGGAACCTCCACTTATTTATTTCATCGAAAATAAACAAAATGGCAGCGTTTCTTGTGAGAGAGAAAAAAAAACACTTTTTTTGTACCGTAAATCAGGTGAAATTGTAAGTAAAAATCAAAATATCAACTACTTGGAGGTTCCGACGATAGATGTGATGACATAGTTTAAAAATCGCGCCGCTAGACGTGAATCCCCTCCCCTAAGCACAGCAGTGGGACGCGCCACTGCGCAGACTCGGCTCCTGTCGCTGTGACGCGCTTAGTGCCACGTTGGCAGTTGAATAGAGAGGGTCGTGAGAGTATTTTCGGTGAAAACCACTCGGCTGCTTTTGCCCATGGTACCAATAAACGTAGCACGAGTTCGGAGAGAGGTATTCGAATTTCTCGGTGCGAGCATCTCGTCTCGCGATGCTCAAAAAGCAGACGCCCGAGAAATGCCTGATCGAGCAGGCAAGAATCTGAAAACCGGTCCCGTCCCTCTCTCCGTCTCGCTTTCCGTGTAGTGCAAGTAACACAGGGTGGGGCGAGAAGCCGAACGTCCGTCGGTCGGTCCGTGACGATCTCTTTTTCCTTAACGTTAGTCGACTGACGTGCTTGGACGTGTTATCTACCGTATTGTGTCGAGGTGTGCTTTATCCGTGCAGTGTTGAGTGTTTTTGATGGGAGCGTAGCGGCTCACAGTGCGCGCGTAGTGTTCACGCCTGTCGCGTAAAATCAGCAAGCTTCGTGACATGTCGTCATCGGATATGAACCTGATGGACCTGCTCTTCCCGCGGGAAGACTCGTTCCTGAAAGGTGACGTTAAGGACGAACCTTTCATAGATCAAAGCTACGGAGAAGACGCCATCACGGTGAGTCCTCAGTACACGCAACGATGGGCAAAACCCTAGGTTTCGAATAAATCTGAAGTTTACCGATATGTTTGCTCCTCGTTTCCTCTTTTGAACATTTTCCAGAAAAAGAAACGAGACAAACACACCGGCAAACTTCAGATTTATTCGAGACCTAGGTTTTTGCCCATCACTGAATACACGCTTACCGGATGTTCCGCTTATCTTCCCTATTTTCTTCTTTTTCTCTTTTCTTTCCATTCCTTGTCACGGTAGACGCCTCGAACTATGAACTTAGTCTCTTCCGCGAAGGCATCGTCCGGGGTAAACCCGTATCGAGACAAACAATTGAGTAACTCGCTTAGTAATGTTTTCAAAGTTCCGAGAACTTTGTTCTTTGAAACTTCCTTTTATGTAACGATAAAGGAGCGAAGGAAGGACGTTGATATCCGTATCTGGCTGTATTAAATCGAACCGATCTCGTTTTCCCGAGAAACTTACAGGACAACTAAGAGAAAAAGTCGGCCTCTCTCGCGCTCGTTATCTCGAACGATAAAACAGAGAATAATTCCCAAGGCTTCTAAAACCTTTTTAAACAACTCGCGTTTTACGCAACGACCGGCGTTAGATGAAAGCTCAATTACAAGCTTAAACGTGGAAGATTTATCCCGTAACGTTCAAAGTTTGCGATTCCGCGAATTGTAGTCGTGCAAAAGGCTGCGAAAGGCTCTTCGTATTTTTATTTTCTTCGAAAGCAGGTTCGATGAATATGCGGTTCTGTTCGGCAACGGGAGAATGCTTCACAGTTCGATTACGCGAAAAGTAATGATACATTTCACCGTAGTCTGTGCCACTTTCGTTCTATCTTCCCCGTTCGACTAATAACACGATGCGTCTCTCGTTTTCATTGCAAATGATTGTATTTAATTGGGTTTAATCGGACGCGATCCATGTGTAGAAGTTCGAATGAAATGCTAAGCGTATTTCGTGTAGCGTAATTCACACGACGGTTTTATGTATACAGGAAATTGTAAACAGCAAAAAAATTTAACCGAAAGTTCGCGTTATTCGCGCGACTACTCTTAATTTATGTTAACATATGGTATGCGCGACCCACGTGTGCGCTTGCGAGTGGATGTTCGAAATCCTACGCACATCTTGTTATGCTTTGTATATTTCGTTAACTACTATACATATAGCGTTAGTCTAATTTGATTGTTATAATAATACTGTTATAAAATAATTCGGAAATACATTCTACTGACGTGCGTGTAACTCACACAAAGAAATAATAATTATGCAATTTCACCGGTCCGTCACGGTGAAATATAAAAATAAATTCCATATAACTGTCGAGTCGTTAAAGGTAGTCGATCTTTAAATTATCTATGCTTGGTATTCACGATTTTATTACTGAAGAGTTTATACGAATACCTACGATTATTACGTAATCGTGTTGGACTTCAGTAACATATGGAACGGCCTAATGCACGTGCCCGTGCGGCAAGCGCCACCATATTGGATTTAATACCTGGATGGGAATATCTCATTAAGTATCCGATTATTTTCGTCTCAATATTGCATTTATTTCTTCAATTTTGTATTAAAACATACTTTATTAAACGAGACAAATTAATGTTTCATAAATTAGTTTTATGTAGTTACGAAGACGTATCACGTGGTATCTTAAGTATTTGATAATATCAAGACACCTGTATAGCTTATAAAGTAAAGCTAGAAATAAGAGGATTTTAAATTTGATCAAGTATTGGCTCTAGTAAAAACTTGTAATCGTGCAATTCAAAATTGGGTTTTTTAATCAATGTTTGATGACATTTCAAACTAGAATTCTCAAACAAATTATTTTTTGTTAGAGATCAGTAGGTAGGAAAAGATGATGACAACAGGCCGACAATGATATGCAGCCCCAAGGTTAATACACTGTAAAGGTTTTATTTCAGTTACAAAAGTACAACGTGCCTTATGGCGATCACATACACACAAGAGCTCTACAGAGCAAGCGAAGGCAGAAAACAAAAGACACACATGCAATGCCCACTGTATCCATTGACACTCTCTCAACATTTTTAAATGTAACTTAAAAATTAATTTCTTAATATTATTCTTTAGTCGAAATATATATAATAGAAATGATTAATAAGACAAGAATTATAGTGTATCTTATTCGAGGCTTCATTTCATGTTTAAGAACACATTTTAGTGGCAATAAACAAATATTTTTTCGAATTTACCCTAAATAGAAATACTAGTAATTGTTAAGTTAAAGACATTCATATTAGATCTATCTTATGGAACACGTATTTTCTTAGTTTGACTAACTGATACATTTCATTGAGCAATCGGTTGCGATTCTTTCATCGTTTAGAAATACGGGTTCATAAATACTTTATATTGTTTTTGGTTAAATCGCATTACCTGCACCGCACGTAAATGACTTCAAGTATGAAATTGGAACAAGACTGCGAACTTGCTCATCATGGTGAGTGACCTTCGAACGTGATATACCGTTACGTTACGGGACTTCCTGTGAATAGTCTCAAAAATTGTGACTCATTTTTGCTTGGGACGTAAAGCCAGTTTAGGCTTCGGTCATTATTTTGCACGACGACAAAAATATTAAAAAACAAAATATTTGAATACCTCGAAGTTAAACAAAATCGAACGTTTAAGAGTAACTCTTCGCATAATAATGACTTTGAATTATTATCTATCAGTTCCATTAGTATTCGTGCATTCCATGTCTGTAGAAGGAATTTATTTAAATTAAATGATAAGTTCGATGTTTCCAAATAAATGCTTCATTATAAATATGTACATGAATCAATATCACACGTGTATATATTTATTTTATTTATTTATTTAAGAAGTACTAGTAAAATTTATAATGAAACATTTATTTGGGAACATAGAGAGTACGAACACTTATGGGACTGACTCTGTAAAATACATGCAGTTAGTGATTATTAGTAGTAGAATATATTTCTACAAGACAATTCGCTAAATACTTGTCTACAATCGATAAGATTGTTAAGAATCCCTTTTTTCAATTTAAAATAATTAAATTAGAAGTGTTGTATTACAAAATACTGTAACATTCAAAATTTATATAACCCGTACTATGCTTCTGATTACAGTTCATTATAGAACCACTTAGTATTAAAAACGCCAACGGTTAAATGTCTTCGAAATTTACCAACTGTAAGTAGGTAATATAAGTATACATACACATGTATTACCGGTAAAATCGAATCACTACGCGCAGTACATATTTTTCATAGAAATCGCAAGAAGTTCCGTGACGGAATTGCGACTATTAAAATTGTAATAGCGATGCCTTCCATCTATTCGCGACGTGCAAAGAAATAGACCAGACAGATTGCTGGAATTTGAACCATGGGAATTAGGCTCGAACCGGTCCCGTAAATACAAAGAACGTTGAATGTTGCATTAGCTCAGGTTTATTTTTAGTCATTTTAAAATGTATAAGCACATGCTTTATATTAAACGAAAATTATGGTGAATCTCGAACAAATTCCAAAAGACGGTTTTTGTTTAAAAAATAATCACGAGTTCCGCGTATTATAACTACGATTAATATTAATAGGTTCTTTGTCTACGATCCAAGGAATAAATGCAGAATTGAAACGATCCTATCTTCCTCACCACTTGACTATATTTACCATTCCTCGAAAACTAGGTTACCCAACATTGGCCAAACGTTTGGTTTCTAGCGAGTCGAACTACAAACGCCGGTGAGACCGGCCATTTTTCAACCTTCGCTAACAATAAGTCCATTAGCCCGACTTTCAGCCAGATACACAAGTAGAACACGAGACCATTAACAGAAATTATTCGTGCTATCCGTAACACGGGCTCAAAAGTAGTTTTAGTCGTTTCTACTTAGTATAAACATGCTCGACGTGAATGCATCAGGTCAATAATCCGCTCTAAATCAGAAACCGTGCGTGAAAGGTATGCGAAAGAAGTCAGTCCATTGTAGTGCGTACGATAAATAAATAATTCACAGTGAATGTGCAAGAAATTACGAAATCCACCCAGTATGCAATAATATAAAATTATATTGAAAGTTCATATCATAATATTTGCAATGTAAAATAAATTCCCATTTAGGTTCAGCTTTTGTAGGTACGTTTGCTAAGATTCTATTTCCCATAAAGATCCGCAGTCTAGCCATAACACGTTATATAAAATGCGCAATAACAAATGTATCGTATATCAGGTTTATTTTATTAGCATAGATTTATTTAAGTATAATGCAAGCTTAACATGGTGACTTAAAACTTTTGCATAGTACTGTACGTACCATTACCTATTATGTCAAATTTCGACATTTCGCTTTTACAGTTACATTCTTAAGGGGGAATACCACATTAGGAGCCCTTATATTACGTGTACTTCGTGATTTGTTTTACAGAGAAAAATTTTCCTAATTTTTGTGTTCATTTAGAATATTTTAGATACGTTTCGAAGTACATTTGGTAATTTTTTCAATTCATTTCACACAGAAATCTTTTAGATATCAGCTGTTCTCTACAGCAAGCTAGCAGGAACTTTTCAAAAATATTTGTCTGGAAGTTAACGTATTTAAATATACAAATGTAATGTACAATTAATGGTCTCCTAAAGCGAATCCTGTTGTATCTATTTTTCAAGACCGAGGAATGGCCGTCGAATCCCGACGACTTCCTGGACTCAATTTTCAAACTGGAGGACCATCAGTTCAACTTGATCGAGAATGACTTGGAGACGATCCCGTCGTCCTCCTCGGACAGTGGACTATCGAGCGCTCTCAGCCTCTCCTGCGAGCAGCAGCTGAGCCCGCTGTTGCCCATCGAGGAGGACCAGGTGGAGATCAGCAACTCCGAGATGAGCAGTCCGCAGAATTTCATGGACTTCGAATCGTTAGACAGCCCGAACCAGTCGGTGGGCAGCGTGGATAGTCCGGTGAGGTCGGTTGTTAGCTCCAACGTTGGTTCACCTGTTACGGACATTCCCGAAGAGATGGATGTGGAGCAGACCCTCGTCGCGGTTGTGAACCCTAATAACACCATGGCGGACACCGCCACCACTATCCTCACAGAACATCCGGTTCTGGATTTAGGTAATATTTTTACAGACTTTTCATCTGGCCTCGACAATAGAATCATGTTTGTTGAGTTTCCAGTCTGGAGGGACATTTTACACCCATGCTTAGCTTTGATAATAATTATTACAAATAAAGCTTGTGGTAGTAATTAAATACGATACGTGAATCATATACTTATTTTTCTCTACTTTCAATTGAAGGGATTGCAAACGTTCTTTAATTGTTGATATTTTTGGAGCAATATTATAATTACAAGCAGCGTTGAAATTTGATTTAGAAATACTTTCTCTTTCATCGTACAAAAACAGAATTAGAATATTCTTTTTAGCTGTGTAATTTCAAAATTACGTAAAACAAAGGATTATACATATATAGACATGTAATCTTATATCTATATTTACAAAAATTGTTCTAATGTATTGTATTAATAACAAACAAGAAAACAGGAAACACGAGGAAAGATGTTTTTTGTGTATATCTGTAAACGTTTTGAAGTATGTTTTTTTTTTTTTTATTCCTTGCATATTTTCAAGAAATAGTTTCATTCTTGTACTAAGGGGGTGGAGGAGGACATCTGCCTCCTTGACCTCCGTTCTAGTTGCGCTACTGAGATGAGTCAATGAGTCAATGAGTCAATGATACTCCCAAGGGAATGTGGTTTACTGCTGTAAATCACGTCATACCTATTATTCGCACTGGTGTGATGAAACCAGCGGTTGTTACTTCTCTGCTTTGAGGTGATAATGGTTTGCAATTCTTCAGATAAGTAAGAATTCGTTAGTATATATTTAAATAACTATCAAAGCTAGCTAGGAAAGATTCCTTTGAACTTGTTAAGGTTGGCTATATAATTGAATGTGAAAGAAATCGATCAATATCTAAGCCCAACATATTGATACAAATGAGAATTATTATTTATTAGTCTTGCGCCAAGCCTTTATATCTAGCTCTACTACAACGTGTTGAAGAAAAAAAGTTTTCAATACATATTTAATTTATATTTTATATAAAATATAATATAATGTAAATATAGATTAATTTCAATAATAATTAAATAGCATAGATTATATTTATATTGTATATTTAATGTTTTATTGCAATCTAATTTTGTATGTTCCAACCAAGGAAAAACGTAGCCGAAGTTATCATATCAGTAAAGCTATCGTAATTTTCGTATTCCTTTTATAATTTTTGTACAACGGTGCTATAGATTATTATATAATTAAACAAAGACGATCGAAAATGTTATAATAAAGATATAAGGCTTGCAAATACTAGTATAATATAACGTTGACTCTGAATGTTGGTCCAGCAAATAGAAAACGAGAAAAACGAATTTTCGTTTGTTCCAGACAAACTACCGAAGGTTCGCGTCGCACCCCAGGAGGGTAACACAATAAACGTCCGTAATATTTCCTGCAACGGCAAACGTAATATCAGACAATTGATACGTGTCACGCCGATGGGTTCTGGGAATCCAAGATCAATTCTACTACCAGTGAGCCTCAAAGACATGAAGGAGGTGCGAACCATAAAAATCATCAATGCATCACAGGCGAGGAATCTGAAAGGGTTCAAAATTAACCAGGCAAACATCATCAACAAACCCGTCCAGGTACGAGAAATTACATTGTTCTCTTTAATGTTCTCTTTACTTAGTTAAAAATTACGATGATCAAAGAATCTAATCGAATCATTTCTATTTATTTGATTGGATGATCAGGTGACCATCAAGCAAGAGGACTCGGGGAGCGAAAAAAGTCGCAATTCGAGCGACGATGTGTCGGAGACGGATTCCCCGTATCCAAGGCTAAAGCTGAACGCCGAAGAGAAACGTCTGCTCCAGAAAGAGGGTATAACGTTGCCGACACATTATCCGTTGACGAAGCACGAGGAGCGCGAGCTAAAGAGGATCAGGCGCAAGATTCGCAACAAAATATCCGCGCAGGACTCGCGGAAACGGAAAAAGGAGTATGTAGACGGGCTGGAGGATCGCGTGAAGCAATGCACCGAGGAGAACATGACGCTTCTGAAGCGCATCAAGGCGCTTCAGTCGCAGAATCAGAGCCTGGCTGGACAGTTGAAGAGGTTACAGGCGTTGCTACAAAAGGGTAACAAGAGCGCCCCGCCGGCCACTTGTCTAATGGTCTTGCTGCTCTCTTTGGCTCTTGTAGCCGTACCGAATCTACGACCGCACTCCAATTCCAATAACGAACTCACGCAGGAACAAGAACAGCCGGAAAAAATGCCGCCGCTGGCAGGTGAGTGGTGCCATTGTATTGTATTATATTCATTAAAGGGGGAAACAACATTGGAAGGTCAGATATTATATAGTGAGTGTAGAAAGTATTCGTACACCGATCAATTTCCAAAAATTTAATTTAATCTTATTTTAACTTTAAGGATATTTTAGGCATGTTTTGAAGTACGGAAAATGTCTCGTAAAGTAATGATGTTTGAACATAAATAGAGTAATACATTTTTGTAGAGAATATCAAGCTGCGTCGACTGATGTAGTACAAAATTTATGATCCCGTTTAAGGAAATGTTAATGTCTTTCATACATCCTCCACACGTCCACCTTTAAAAAAACTAATAGCATCCGAATGTGTCCCACTCGAAACCGAGATGGTAATGTATGGTAGACTTCCCCGTATTTATTACGTGCAGAAATTAAACCCGAACCTCTATATTCAATCATTTATGAGTTCATTAAAGAGTCAATCTTTTGAGTCCTCACCTTGATCTCTGTTACAATGTATTTATACACATAAGTCTCAACCTGATGGTTATTACAATGCATCTACGCGAACTTTAGCAGCCATCAAATTTTTCTTATTGTTATTCTTCAACAATTATTGTAATTATGAAGTAGACTTGTAATCTGTTACAAGAATAGTATTAAACGAAATTTTACTGCTACGAAACTCCATATCTGCATATATACATGTTGTCATGACCATCAGGTGTGTATAATTTAAGTTGTGAAATACACAGATTCACTGTAATGGAGATTAGATGGAGACCTTAGAAGATTGCAACTTTAACATAACCAAATGACGAATATTTCTACTGAAATGATGGTAATGAAAGATTTGAATACAAAGGCACATTTTCTACATCTAATACTTTTGAAAAAGAAAAGAAAATGATTTCTTGAATGTATTACATCAGTCATTAGAGACCTCTTACAAGGGTATGGTTGATGACCCCACGCGCCGGAAGCCGATTTTTGTATTAAGTTAAAGGGTCACGTTCAAAGGTCTCGAAAACCTGTCCAAAGCTAACCCGCGATGACCATGTGCTTGTCGAACCTTGATAAACCGTTATATTAGCGGTTACACGAGTCGAATAAGTTAATAGCACTGCAGGCAGGCGTGGAATATTTTCTTTCCTTTTTTTTTTTTCTCTACTTTGCTTTCACGTCCTGCGGTTCGTTGTATCTCTTGGACCTCGGTCGACACTTGCATGGTCGAGCAACTTTTTACTAGCGACGTGAAAAATAAAACAAGAAACCATCGGCGTCTTCTTACGTTTTACATTCTACCTTCTTATTTGCAACGTTGCTTCGAGCAAGAACGCGCCAATATATTCGCGGCTAAAATTTCATTTACTACGGACGAAATATCGACTGGGAATGATGTTGCATGTGTGCGCGTTTGTAACATTTAACTGACGCAGCTATTATTATTATTATTATTATTTCTATAGTTTCATTTTAAACTCTAATTGTTTGAAGTGGATCCAAACCAATAGATCAAAAGTCAAGGTGAAGACGTTTATTCGAATATTCTGACTGTCTCGTGAATAATTTTTTCAACACTTTATCGATAGATTACATTGAACAAACTTTCCATGAATGCTGTTATTTGATACTTATTTCATTTTCGCATGAATATTGAGTTATTTCAGGCACATTTTTATTTTCTTACATACATTATTTACTCGTATGTGTCATGCTATGACAAATGGACAGCTACGAATGGTGTTCGTAGTCGGGAATCAACACGTTACAAAAACCCTGCCTAATGTACAAGATATATCACCTAACGATATTTTCGCATAGGTATTGTTTTTTTTTTTCCTTCTGATAATGAAAACAAACTGCCAAAGAGTAGTCGGTTGTCTTTCAAGAAATATTTTGTGATCCATTAACTATTCATTTTAAAATGATATTTTGCATAAATTGAATGTCATCGTTGGGCCCTCCGCCCTTTATTTTCGTTGCCGTAGCTAATCCGATATAAAAATAATAATAAAAGCAGGCCCGGCGCAAGGCAGGTTCAACGCCGTTCGCCGGAATCTGGCCCCGCGGTCTACGAAAATTTTGATTAACTTTTTACGGAATGATGATACCATTAACAGATGCAAGACATTTTTTTTATTAGCGATGATTCAGTTTAAAGGAGTGAGAAAAATCGTCGAAGTATTATTATTTAATATTCATCTTATAGAAAATATGTAACAGCATTTGTAAATAAATAATTCCGCGTTGTAAAATTTAAGTGTAGGATCTGAATGTGAATTCAAGCCCCGTAAAAGGTCACGCCGGCCCTGTATAAAAGTACAATATTTTATTTGAAATCATTCCTTTGCAGTCACTCTGCTCTACCACTACAAAAAAAGTCTCCACAATTGCAATAAGCAAGAATTAAAAACTTCGATTAACGCGACATGTTGATGGTGAATATTGCTATTAATAAGCCATTCAATATGTGTCCTTCGAATATTGCTAGTTGAAAAACACGAGTAAAAGACATAGTGCGCGTCAAAACGAACAACAAACATATATTGACACGTGTGTATGTTCACTTTTGACACATATCTATTATCGTTGAACGCGATTAGGTAACCTCAGATAATTGTACGGCGTTGGGTGAATATTTTACGCGACAATCAATTCGTAAACCTGGTATCATCTGAAAAAATATAACGCAATGTTTATTAAAATCAACTACGCAGAACCAGTTGACACGTACGATTTAAACAATGAAAGGGACTTGTAAAGCATCGAATAAGTATAGTATCATGCCACTCCGTAACGAAGAATAAGAAATTAAGGGGGGTTTAGGATGAATTAGGAGGTTTAAAAAAAGCGGTTTTTCGTGCATTTTTTTAGGATGCAAAAAAAATAATTAATTCTGTCGAACTTGTTATCCTATTTTCATACATATATGAGTAGTTTGTACAAATTTTTTCAACAAGAAATATTCAAATTGAGTCGACTGCAGCGCATATTTGTAGGGCACCTCACAATTAAAACCTCTTATTGGCGGGAAAGATGCAGGTCGTAATTTTGGTTTGACACAAAAAAACCAAAAGAAATTTTCATTTTCATACATTTTTCTTCTATATATGTATACATAGTATATACGAAGCATAGGAAATTAAACATGAAATTGAAAAAGGATTTAAGCTATCAGTTTGTCAAGTTTTATTTTCGTTACAGAAAGAAGTCACTATTGATTATTTTCCTTCTATTTATTAAGGCCTGCATATAATTATCGATATTGTATATATTCTCATACTAGTAGATTATTGTATAGATTTTTTAATGATACAATCTACGTAATGTGTTTTGTACTCTGGGTCGTAAAATTTCACATGTTCTTATCGATGCAAAAGTGATTCGCCTCCTAATTGACCTGCAAAGGATTCCTTTCTTTATTCGAAAACACTGATGGCTCGAACAGCAAATTCCAGGAATCGGATACGATTCAATTGCAACATTAAAAATAACGAAACTCGTGATATGATATCAGCAACATTTCAGATTACGAAACACATTTACTTTGTACGTATCGTCGTTTTTGTAACACAATTTGAAGTGCCAACAAAAGTTACAACTGCGTTCGCGAACGATGCTTCGATGTGTATTATCGACAGCATCGAAATTGCTTTTACCTTCTCCAACGAATTAAATCAATCCCTTCGAGTTGGATAAATTCATTTCCAAGAACTATACATTTGATCAATCTTCTAAAATTTCCAGTTTGTAATGTCAGTCTGCATTTTGTAAAAACGTGACCACCTCCTCGTGGTTTATATCGTCACAATGCTTCTCGCTTTCCTCTGGTTAATTAATTCCGTTGCTAACTGTGGTAGGCTAATTACAATCTAGTTTCTTCTCGTGACAAAAAAAGAACATAAATTATGTTTTGAATTTATTTGAAACCCTTCAGACTTGCCTTTTCTTTTTAAACAGAAGAAAATTATTTTTCAATGGATACATACTAACTGGATGAGTAGTAACACATTTATTTAAAAAAAAAAAAATGTTTGCATAATAATTTAGGCCATGATGTTTGGTTTTGTTCAAATTTACGTTTCTGTCAACAAGAGCAACACCAATTGTAGTTATGCGTAGATAAGATGTATATTGACACGCAGAATGATTAACGGTTTAAACAAATCTGAAAATTAATATGCATTACAATTTACACCATAGTTCCCATATTTTTGCATTCAATTCTATGGTTAGCGCTATTATACCTAGTTTTCTTTTTCATCTTTTTTACAGATTTATTTATAGATTTTCTGTTGAAAAGTTTATTATCGTTGTTAGTTAACCCACCGCTGCAGACGTTTTATCAGATACTCGTGATTACTTCAGATAAAAAGATAAGTACATTTCGAAACCTATAGTTATAAGACTGATATTTACAGCGGTGTGGCGAAACCGGAGCAGGCTATGAGATCGAACAGAAGTTGTTCAGCTACTTTCTAAACGAGGGCAAGAAAGCTCTGGATCCTTTCTCGATGTCTGAACTGGTTGATCCTTTCCATCGATCTTTCATTCAACCACTTTCTCGAAGAATACGAAAAAACGCTAATTCGCATAACATATGGGGTTCCACAATCTGCATTTGATATCAGAGATTGTGATGGAATTAAAAAAGAATTCAGGCTATCAGTATGTTAAATTTTACTTTTTTCATAGAAAGATATCATAGTTGAAGTTATCAAGAAACTATTTTTCGTATTACAACATGCAGACCATTTCCAAAGATCAACAAGATCTTACAGAGAACATTCATATTCCTCAATTAAATTTGAAAATGAAAGCTTTTGTGCCACTAATAGTTGCAACCAGCAATTTTATGACATACGCCAATAATGACATCAACTATGATCTTTTTGTATAAAGAAGTGTTATTATTAGACTGCTGATGTTTATATACATTCGTATTATTATTTACACAGATCAAGAACAGAAACGTTTAATTTAAATTTGACCTTCTAAATGTTGTAACGTGTATTTTATTCTTTATATTTTGTATATTTATACATTTCTCATCAGTCCAATTAGTATCTGTACCCTCTTCGTCTATCCAAGAAATTCGTATAAATCAAATAATAGGCTTGATGTTTCCAAATAAATGTTTAATTATAAACATGTATACGAATAAACATTTTACACATTTTACAACTCTACACATGTATATACTTATAATGAAACCTTTATTGGGAAACATCAAACCTACCATTTAATTTAGACTTTTTTCAATGGAGGATATAAATGCTTATAAGGCTGACTGTATATCCACAGACTAGTTATTATTTCATGTTTTTGTTTCAGGCCGTTCACGAACACTCCTCTACACGAAGCAGCTGATGGACGAGGAGCTGCAGCAATACAGCGAGGAATTGCTGCAGGAAGTGGAAGGTCTCCTGGATCACGATTACAGCCCGGTGATCCAGCCACCTCTCCACAAACGTCCTCGCATGGACGTGGAACTGACGCAGAAATGCGTGTCGTCCTCGGATCACGTAGGTGGGACGCTTTGCGGAAAGCCGGAGTACATCACGATATCCGGCAGGAAGTACATCGAACCGCCATTGGACGACGTTTGGCCACCGCCAAATCCGGGTGGGCGCAAGAACGGAAAGGTGGTCGACAAGCTCGAGGCGCTGACGAACGAGCTGAAAATCAACATTTCGGATGCGGACGGCACTAGGACCGTCCTCGTCAAGGTGCCGCAAGAAAAATAGATCAACTCTTTCGCTGGTACGGGTGCTCGCGAGTTCTCACGAAGGAAGTACGAGAGCTGTGACTCGAATTACTGAATGAAACTTAACCCTTTAGGCTATAACGTGTGAGACACGTGATAAGGAATTCGAATCGAACATGAAAAGCACGAGTTAGACACGTCGTATGAACGTACACAAGCGTCTTTATACCCGACTAGTTATCCCCCGCGGTTTCACCCTCATGGAATACTATTTATTTTATGTCGTTCGCATTCAACCGCGTGTTCCTTCGCGAATCAGTAGATGACTGTCTTTTGTTTTCCGTAACTCAGATGTTTCAAACGATATTTCCTACAGTTGTGGCCCGCGGTTTCACTTGGTTTCACTCCCGTGGAATACTAACGTTGTAACGATTTCCATCGCCACATTTCGCTGTGTATTTACAAATTTTGTTTTTTTCAACGTGGTTGGACTAACCTGTAGCTTCTAATGTTACTGCAGTTGAGTCGATGAGACTCTGCTTAAGGATAGAAGCATCGATAATTAGGTGATCTCGTTAAGAAAAACATAGGAAACGCGAAGCGACATGCCATTCTACTATAGGATAGGAGCGCATAAGTTACCTAAGCAGTAAATCTAATTACACATGTGGTGAACTGTAAACTAATGTTCGAAACAAAGAATTTGGTTGTAGGCTAACTGCACTTCATAAACGCGAATCTTAAGCAGAAGCTCTAGATTAATTCGTCCACGTTAAAGCAACAAAATTATTTTAAAGGCAGCGGCATCTAGTAACTCTAATTTTCATCAGATTACATTACTTTGATGGGGATCTTTATCTCTGCTAAGATTCATTTGAAAACTCGAGTTACAATTCACGTATTTCGCTTATTAGATTGGTGCATTTCATGCAGTGAACTTTTGCGAGGCGTTGTCGGAGTATGCTTAACATTTTAGCTACCTCTGCCTATTCAGAAATAGTCTACATCTTAGGAAATAATTTTCTACATTAGTATACAACTAATATACATTTCATGAATAACTTTACGTATCTCTCTGGCTTTCGGCATTATCGTGGCGCGAATGGAAAGTCTATTTCCTCAAACTCAGCATCTTACGTACACAAACAAAAACACAGTTAATAGGTTGCGATAGGTAGACATTGGAATTTAAACACCTACGAATAGGCTCACAGTAGATAAAGTGTTAATCGACGCGACTACTCGACTTCCTCATGCAATGCGTGCTAAGGAATCGAATCTTGCGAAGCACGGAAAGGGTTGAAGATTCACGCGTCACCTTGAGATGAAAAGTAACTATCACCCAATCCTATCGTTTTGTGTTAACACTTTGCGAAGCGATGTACATACGTTGCGTTCCATGGCTATGAACTATGATAGTCTTTTCATAGTGTGTTTCCTAGGCGGTTTTCTTTGAAAAAGAATTCCTTATACCAAGAGAAACAGATCACCGAATATCCTTTGAACGTATTCTTCATTCGTTAAGTGATTGTATCTCTATCTTTTAGAGAAAAAAATTCGCAAAGGGTTGAATGTTAATAATGAAAGTATAAATCTCTTCGAACGAGAGACGTATAGAAGGTGCAGTTCAGCTAGCATGTCGCATAAGTTTTAAATACATTTTTTTTGCGTAAATGTTGTATAAAATTGAGAAGAATCTGTTCGACCAATTTGTTCCAACAGATGGTCGGTTTTCCTTTCTGTATCAACGAGTTTGGACATTTTTATTCGCGAACCAATTGTCCAGTTCTCGATGAATTTTCGATACACGCGAGTTTTTATACTATGTCACTCTTATTCTCGCGTGTGTGTATATTTTGGATATCGAAGCTATCTCGTATTCATCCATCATTAATCGCGTACTGCTCATCGATATTTGCGTAATAAATACACATCGATCGTGTCACGAAACATTGATTTTTATCGATTGTGTACCACGCCTATTAGTCGAAGATATTGTATACCTATATAGATCGATCGTTTTAGGTAATTTTTCCAGGAGTTTTTATCGATTGAACGATATTTAAGATTTATCTATTTATAAGGAGAATTTATTACAAGAGTTTTACAATTATTATTGCTGTTGCCGATGATAAGAGATATTTGTATATAGTTACTATAGAGAAACGTAAAACTGACACAGATATATATATATATTAAAACTATACCTATCATAGCTTTAAATTTAACGAAATGAATTTACGACTGTATGTACGTTACTGTACGCGAAATAAGCTATTTGCAGAAGTACAGTAGACTACAAGTAATTCGTTGATGAAATTTGTTTATAAATACACATACGAAAGTGTGTAGCATATACGTTTCCATTCTTTACTGCGCGATAGATTCGATTACCCGAAGAATGAATTTCGTTGTATAATTTCCGAGGGCTGGGTATCATATTTAATGTCATATCACACGAAAGGTTTGCACCAGGTTGAATTAAGATAAATCTGCGCCACGTTTTACCGTGAAACGTATTTAAAACGAAACCTGCGTGTTTATAACACCAGGCTTGAAGACTGCATCATACATGTTAATCGCATTTTGACATTTTCTTCAAACTCGAGACACATATTCCTCGCCTCATCTTTAATTCCTTACGTTTAGATAAGTTAAATGATCGTCGAATTTATTTTTACTTTATATACGGCTAGCGTTATGTGCGCATAGAAACGCTAACTATATTCATTGAATTGTAAATAAACACACCGTGAAGAAAACATTTCGTCGTTGTTTAAATTGTTCGTACTTACGTTAATTTCTTCTTCGATGATGTTCGAGGAAGGACACAAGAAACACGTACGGTAAAGAAAAATAGAAAAACGAATGTGTCGCAAGAAAAGATTCGAATTCTTTTCTTGCTACTAGATTTACGAGTTTTTGTATGTAAGGAATTCAGACGTTCTTCCAAAAAGTTGTTATTGAACACGTATATGTGACCGTTGCCGGTGCTGTACGCAACGCCGACATGCGTTTTTATTTAGATAAGTTGAACGATACATTCCTACCAGTAATGTTTATTCAAAAATAGAACGGTTCTATTTTTGCACTATGTAAAAGGGTTGAAGGTATTACACTCTAAATTTTATTCAATATAGGTGTAACGAAATTAGAAAATAAATGTTACAGTCGAATCTTACGAAATTTATTTTGGTCCTGGAGTATCTTAAAACTTAACAGTAAATGCATTAAAGAAATGTCTCGAAAAATGTAATGAAAATATTCGTGATTTGGAAACTTCAGTTAACAAACAGTTTGCATATAGAAATTCAAAATAATGCGCTTGGTGTATCTAATCTATGGTCATGCCAGCAGCGCCTTTCCAAAGTAAAAGTAAGTCTCGGTATTATCATATATCTGAAATCATGGAGATGACAATGACATTATATAAAGCTTCGTGGAAATTTTCCCTTTAATTCCCCTACATTTCCTGACACATTTCCCTTTAATTTCCCTTCTATTCCTGATACATTCTCCATTAACTTTCCGTCATTTTTGTAACATTTCCCTTTAATTTTTCATTATTTTCTGGTACATTTCCCATTAACTTCTCCTCACTTCCTGACACAGTTCCCATTAACTTTCCTTCATTTCCTGTCACATTTCCCTCTTATAACCCTTCATCTCTGAGACATTTCCCTTTAATTTCCGTTCATTTCCTGGCCTATTTCCATTTAATTTCCCTCTATTTTCAGGTAAGTTTCCCTATAATTTTTTCAATTCCCCTTAAAATTCCCTCTTCCCAATATCAACGTTGCTTTGTCCCACTTTGCTGAACTTTTGAGCGTGCAACTTAGCTGAAGTCTTGAGTGGAAGCACTTCACTTTACATTTTGGTATCAGGAGATCATGATATGTGAAGAGGTGGCATAACTTTTCACTGGATTTTGGATACTACCTTTTGTATCAGGAGAATATGATACTTGAAGAGGTGGCATAGTGGCATTCAGGATCACGTGATGAGTAAGGAGGTGGTCAGGGAAGGTAGAGCAATGAAAGGAAAATGTGTCACGAAATTATGGGAAATTAATGGAAATTGTGCCATGAATGAAAGGGTAATTAAAGGGAAATATAAGGTAGTGTGAGAAGGTATTAGGATATGTTAGGAGATGTTCGAAGGTGTCAGGAGATGTCACAGGAAGTGTTACGAGATACTAGATGGTCTTCGAAGGTATTAGGAATTGTTAGATGTTAGGAGATATTAGGGAGATGTTAGGAATTGTTGGGAAGTGTTAGAGGGTATTAGGAGTTTTCAGGAGTTGTTAGGAGATGTTAAGTGTTAGATGGCGTAGAAGGCTCGGTTGCTACATCGTTAGCGTACAGATGTCCCTGGTATGCAGCAACCGGGACTAGCCCGCTTGTCGGTATGGTTGTCATCTCGTAGGCGCAAAGGTGCCCCTTGCATGCGGCAACCTATACTAGCCGGTTTGTTCGTTCGGTCGCAATGTCGTAGGGGCAGAGTTGCCCCTGTATGCGGCAACCTATGCTTGTGGGTTTGTCGGGGCGGATGCCACTCGTAGGGGCAGAGTTGCCCCTGTGTGCGGCAACCTATGCTTGCGGGTTTGTCGGGGCGGATGCCACTCGTAGGCGCAGAGGTGCCCCTTTCATGCGGCAGCCTGTGCTAGCCTGTTTGTCAGGTCGGTTGCTATTCGTAGGCGCAGAGGTGCCCCTTTCATGCGGGAACCTATGCTAGCCGGTTGTCGGTATACTACATTATTAACTTAACTGTGGAGTGTTATATTTGTATCATTATAATTGAATGAGGTTCTTGTCGGAACCGGGGAATGGAAGATGAGCATTTAGCCATAGACTATCGACTTTATACAGTTGTCTAGCAATCTCACGAATTCACAATGGCAACGTAATATGACAGACATAGCTTTACTCCACGTTCTGGTATACCCGGTCTCTATATTCCTATATCCGTAGTGAGTATACCTAATTCAATGGAGGAATGTGATTCACCATTGGTGAATCTAGTGATATAAATATGATCAGTGAATATTTGTCCACTGAATACATACTATGACGTCGAGAATCCCCCACCCCAAGCTTAGTGTATATTCCCGCCATGGCTATGGCAGAGTGTTTGAAAACGATAACGATATTGTAATATATTCGCACGAGTTAACTTTTCACCAAGTATGACTAATATCGGGCAACTGGAAAATTTGTCCGATTTACTGCCGACTTATTACGCGAGGTTATTTCCTTTTCAAGATTACTACCGTTGGCTCAGTTATGGAAACGGTACGTTATTTGCGATAAAGAACCATGCAACTGGTTGATCCTTGCAACTGGCAATTTAAATTAATTGTTATCAACACATTATTATAATAAACTTCTTTTTAGTGAGCATATTCACCCGTAGAGAGTTTTCATTTACTCTGCAAGATGATGTCTATCTTCGATTTCAATCTTTTAAGAGTGTAAAAGAATTGGAACAAGAAATTAGGAGGCTGCTACCCTTTAAAATAGATATTGGTGCAGTTTACAACGTTTGGTGGGTGCTTTTGTAGTTAGAACTACTTCCATTCTTATTGAACCATATTTTTAATACTATCATATATAGTCCTAAAGATCAGCGAAACAGCTTTGAATTTGAACCTGTCGAGAGAGAACTGGTATTTGATATCGATATGACTGATTATGATGAAGTTAGAACATGTTGTACCGGAGCAGATGTCTGCTCTAAATGTTGGAAGTTTATGTCAGTTGCCTGCAAAATTTTAGACAGTGCTTTAAGACGTAAGTACAGATAAAACTTATTACAATAATATTGTATTGCTTATACAAATATGAGCATCGATATGTTATACTTTTTAGTTGATTTTGGGTTCAAACATATTTTGTGGGTATTTTCTGGCAGAAGAGGTATACATTGTTGGGTGTGTGATCCTAGTGCACGCACTTTAACTACATTCGAGCGTGGTGCAGTGGCAGAATATTTACAGATCTTAGATGGTGGAGAATACATGAAAAAAAAAGTGACTTTGCATGGTGATAAAATACATCATTCTATTAAGTGTGTATAATTGTTATCAAGTAAATCAGGTTTTAATATATTCATTTTTACTAAAAAAGATGTTATTTCATGATACTATGTGATTTTAGACGTGCCCTTAAGATAATAGAAGCTGTTTTCATTCCATTTTGCATAGAAGAGCAGAATATATTAGGAACTGATGAAGGAGTAGCAAAATTTCTGGAGATACTACCTGATGATGAAGATAGACAAGAATTGTTGACACAGTTTAATCAATGTAAATCTACCATAGACAAATGGAACCAGTTTGTTAAATACGTTAAGCATAAAAATACAATGGTACTTTTTTTTTTTATCGAATCTGCTAAGTTATTAAAAAATAGTTTTCGATATTAGATATCTGTTTTTAGGGGGATAAAAAGTTCAAGTGGTATTACCGTCACTTAATAGAGGAAGTAATGATTCAATACACATATCCCAGATTGGACATAAACGTTAGTAAAGGAATGAACCATCTTTTGAAGTCCCCTTTTTGTGTTCATCCAAAAACTGGCAGAGTTTGCATTCCATTCACAGCGAACACAGTGGATAAATTTCAACCAGATAAAGCACCAACAATTACTACGCTGATTGAAGAAGTCAACGAGTTCGACGTCAAGGATAAGGCAGAACAGCAAACATACGATTTAAATGCGAAGAAAATAAAAGACTACAAAAAGACTAGTCTAAATAAATCACTTCGTCTTTTTCACGAATTTTTGTGGAATTTAGAGAACGAGCGAAAAGGCCACAATATTAAAGAAAGCGGTATTTATTCTCTTATTTATTGTATAATAAGTATTATTGTTTCTACATACTCGTTTTATTTTTCAGATGAAAAAATGGAGTTTTAATGTAGATAAATAAATTTTTGTAATAAGTAAATTATGTATTCAATTATAATTGAACTATCGTTTTTCAATGCGTTTATATTGTTAGAAAAGCCGCTCTGTGAGCGCTCACAAAGCGGCTTAATAAGCGGTACCCTCTTTCGGGATGAACCCAAAAATTATATTTACTTCAAGTTATAGTCTCTTCTAGATGACATTGCGAACGCTATACCAACCGTTTAGGGATCGTCTCTAAATCTAAAAGCAATTCTCTCGGGCGTCTCTGCAATTTATTTTCATTGGGCTTCGAATAAATCTGAAGTTTGTCAATGTGTTTGTCTCGTTTCCTTCTTTGGAAAATGTTCAAAAGAGGAAACGAGACAAACATATCGGCAATCTTCAGATTTATTCGAAGCCTAGGGTTTTGCCCATCTTTGATTCTCAGTGTGCTAACATGACATGTTCTGTATGAAGTTAGCTATAAGTACTAACCTTACTTGCAGTTGCTTGCAGTTTTATGTGGTTTTATGTAGCTTTCTGTGATGGTAATCTAACTAACATTTAACATATTTATAATGTTAACACTAACATGTATTATTAAAAAAGGGTTTTCGTCTATATTTTAACAATGAACTAATGATATGTAAAGGTGAATATTATTTGCATATTAAGAGTTTTTCAAAAGGGACTTCGATTTTGTTTTTTAATGAAACATAAATAGTATGGAACATATCCGATTTATTCATTCGGAATGAGAATAGACATTATTACGAGTAATCGTGAAAGACAGCGTCGTTTAAGCGTTCACTGTGACTACATTGACAGACACTTATTATTAAAAAACAAAATCCAAAATTGTCTTTTTCTAATCAATCTTAATTGAATGAAAAGTACAATTTCTTATTTTGAATATCTTTTAAGAGCAAAGCATAAAATGAAAACATGGCACATATATTAACTCCATTTGTATACTGGGCTCAGACAGAACATCAAGTTACCTTAAAGGTAGAATTGACTGACGTTAAGGTATGAAACCTTGAGTGCATGCTTATTATTGTTTATAAGTTTATATAAATCATAACTACACTCTGTAGGACATTAATGTTTACATGGATGAAAAGAAGTTAGAAATTGCTGCTCAAGGGCATGGTGTCAGAGGTCTTAATAATTATGGATTCAATCTTGATTTACATTCATCTATTAACACTAAGGTAATGTTTCTATAATTCTTTTGTCATTACTGCATCTGTAATATATCATTGTGATTATACATCAGTGGTAGTAATATATGATTTAATTTATCTTAGACTAAAGTAATATACAATAAGAACTTTATATAGAACTTCTTCATAGTTTTAAACTAGAATCTATAATTGATTTTTGCATATATTAACTGAATTTAATGATCATCTATAAATCACATTTATTTGATTAAAAAATAAACCAAGAATTAATTAATTTGAGCCAAAAATTAATTTGTAGACCTAAGATGCATGTGCATGTGGACCTAACTCTCTATCTAACTCTTTTGTATCTAACTCTCGCTTTCCAAGACTAACTAACTACCTTTTCTTATTGTCATGTATGAGTTGAATTACCAACCAGACAGTATCAGCTCTCAGATGTGTCAGGTATACATAAGTATAGTTGCATAATCATGTATGTTGTTGAATCATGACTTCTTGAAGGCTAATCTCAAATACTAGATCGGTGGACCAATCCGACACTTCTATCGATTGCCTTTAGAGAGACACTCCTATTACCTAATATGCAAGGTTCAATCTGAACCCTAGTAAGGATATATAGATAGAGCATGTTCAGAATAACCCTCAGATTTAAGATGTATAGCTAATATTTTCCTAAGGTAGTACTGCGCGCCTCATGCAAGGAACATGATTGTGATATTATTAAGGTTTGTTGATGATAATAAACTATTATTTGATGTACATTGTGTACAACCAATCATTTTAAATTATAATCCTACAAATTCGCATAAGATTAAATCGGTGTATGAAGTACGAGTAACTATTGCCAGATTTTTCATATTTTGTCCCAAGATTTATAACACAATCGATGAGGGAAAGTGTAAAATACCAAGTATTGTAAATCTTGTTACGACGAACTTGTACCTTGGGCGTCCGTGTGGCGGTCCCAATAAAACACCGCCTGCATATCATATGGGCAAATGCAAGGAAATGTTGGGACTGTAAAGTTCAAGTATTATTACTAGCCACCCTCAGAAATTCTGACACCATAGCACTTCTCCTCAAGGACTCTAGGTCGAGGGAGAGGACACTAGAACCAAGAGGTGCGATTTCGAATCAGAAGACAGAATATTTTTTTAGAGGCGTCACATAAGTGACTCGTAGATTTAGTAGCAGTAAGTCACCTTTCCTTTGGTAAGGGTGATCCTTCATGCACACCACGTGTAAGCGTACCCAGATCCAAAACGGTTCATTAAGAATTTAAAAAGTATCATTGCGAATCGCCGTGTACTCTTTCAAGGATTGTCTTGTATATACGTTCATGGAAGGAACCCCATGAATACTGTTGGGATCCAGATGAGGGACGTGGAGACCGATTTATAAACTTACAAATATATTTCGGACGTTTCAAAAATACAACGAATACTTGCGGAAACAAAATAATCGACCGACGCGCGGAAGGATCGAAAACAATAATCAAACAATCAACAATCTTCCTGTAGGGTCTTTGGACTTTGATAAGAAATGCGAAAAACAAGGCTGACTAACTTATTTTGGACACATTGATTCCGATATCTTTATCGGACTGAATCTGTACACAACGATACACATCCAATGCAAAAATGATACCTCTGATACTTTATTCAACATATTTAATTTATTTTTATACCTAGAACGGCTCTATCACCAATTGTACCATCCACTTCAAAGCGCGACCGTAAACGTTAGAGATATAATTGATAAGTATAGTTCGTTTTTATATTACAGGAAAGTAATTACAAAGTAATAGATCGACAAGTTGATCTCGTACTAAAAAAAAAATGCCCTGCGTGGTGGCCACGATTAACAAGCCAACCACAAAAACCGTCGTGGTTAAAGATCGATTTTGATAAATGGACCAGTGAAGATTTAGAGGATAATGAAGATGAAAAACGTGATATACGCAATGATTATCCCGGCATGTATGACAAACTTCATCAAGAAGAATTTGGTTATAGAAAAGGTATATTTTATTTAAAAAATATATTACCACGTATATTGTAGTTGAAACTAATTGCGTTTAAAATTTGTGCAGAGGATTTCAAGAAGGTGTATTTAATTATATATAATCTTTGTCAGCTTGTTGGTTTTATATATGTTCTTACTGTAATGGGGATAATGTATTCACGAGATGGACCAGGTTAGTAAATATCTAAATTATTTTAAAGTAATTGATTCCTATATTAATTAAAATAATATATTTAAACACCAAGTTTTCTTCATTTTAGTCTCTATGAAAGAAATTTATGCAGCTGTTGGAAATCCAATGAAATTTATACAACTTTTACAGTTTTTAGAAGTTATGCATTCATTATTTGGTTATACTAGTAGTAATACATTGGTATCACTTGCACAAGTAGGAGGTAGATCGTTTATATTATTTTGTATGATTGAAGCCGAACCGCGTATGCAAACTAAACCTGTTGTTTTTTATCTTTTTCTTGTTTGGAGTACTGTGGAAATAGTTAGATATCCATATTATATAACGCAATTACTAAAAATAGAAATATCATTTTTAACATGGTTGAGATATACGATATGGATGCCCCTATATCCACTAGGATTTCTCTGTGAAGGAATCATAATATTAAGAAATATTCCATATTTTGAAGAAACACATAAATTTACTATTTCTTTACCAAATTCTTGGAATTTTGCATTTCACTTTCCATCATTTCTAAGAATGTACTTGCTTATATTTTGTTTACCTATTATGTACATGTTAATGACCCGTATGAATCGAATGCGTTATAAAAAATTAGGTAAGTCTAAATTAAAGAAGAAATATGCATGACTTAACAAGTAAATTAAAATTACGAAATTAGAAACTCGATAAAATTATATAACAATAATTCATAGGGTTATATTATTAAATTTATGATACATTTAAATAATAAATCACTGTCGTGTGTATATTGTCGCGCTAGGTGACGGTGTTAATTAGAGAATTTTATAATTACCCGTATGTCCTTTTTCTCGTCTTTTATCCTTCCCTGTCCCTGTAAACTAGGAAATTGAAAATAATTCAGTACATAGATTAGAAATATACCAACTTCCCCTTCAAATTACGATTTTATCTCAGATTTCTTAATGAATTTATTTTAATAGTATATAAATGGTGGTTTTTGTTAAATGTTATTCAAAATACATACTGAAATAATTATACTATTTCATAAAAATATCGAAGATCAATTAGATTGCGTTTTAATAGATAAATACATTTTATTTTTTATTGTCTGCTTGGTTGGATTAATCTTTTTTAGAATTTGAGTCATTACATTAACCAACTGTTCAGAGGTAAGGCCCGTTTTTTTCGATTTAAACTTTTGTAAAAGTTCTGTTGTTGTCATTGGTTTACGCATAAGATAACGTCTAACTGCATCTTCCGTGATTCCAGATTCACTGTAACGTATAAAAAATAATTTAATACTAATGTATGAAACATATTACATTTGAAAATAAATAAGTCCTAAAATACAGTAAATCATACAGATTACACTCTTCCCATTTAAACATACCTCGCTCCTGGAATATAAGAAGTTGCTGGTACAAGATTGAAATTATCCAACTTTAATTTTTTTGCCTGTGATATATCTGGAGAACCACAATGCTTTCTTTTCATAGGATCCGATATTCCAGCAACAACAGGTGTAGGTGTTGCGGATCTTGAACTATGTGCACTATTTGATTTTTTATTATCCTTCTCTTTTACTGTATCTGATTCTGAGCCTGAATCACTAGAGAAATCGCTAGAAGAATCCTTTCCTAATGCAACTTTCTTTAGATCTTTTTTCTTAGATTGCTTTTTCTTTTTCTTTCTATCTCTTTTCTTTTCAGGATCTTTACTTGTTTTATCCTTATCCTGAAAAAATGGAAGATAAATGGAGAAATTTTTGTTAGTCATATATGATATTCTAAAAATTGTACATTTGTTTTCCTACCTTTTCTTCTTTTTCCTTATTTTCATCTTCTTCCTCTTTATCTTCATCACCCTCCTTCTTGTCTGCCTTTTCTTCATCCTCTTCATCTTCATCAGAGGCAAGTAATTTTCTTAATGCATCTTCCTCTGCAACAGACTTGATTTCTTTTTGTTGTTCCAATTCTGAATCAGAATCTGAAGAATCAGAAATATAGTCACATTCTCTCCCTTCTTCATCTCCATCATCGCTTTCTTCAAATGCTTCATCGTCGGATGCCTTTTGTTTTTTTTTCTTTTTCTGGGCATCACCTGATACAAATACTTATAATGTAATACATAATAAACCTAAACGTAAAAAATAAATAATTCTATTTCACTCGCAATAAGTTGCAAATATACATATATTTTAATACAAAATCTACAATTGAACATGTGTCTAGAAGAAAAGAGCATAATTTAATTACAGCGAAACTCTTCAAGTTGCTTTGATTTCTAAGCATTCAGTTACTGAAAGATACTTACATGAAAGTTTCCTAATCATTGATCATTTCTCAAATAATTTTATTGTCTCGCCTCCAACATAAATATTAGTTTTTCAGTTACTATCACCATACACCTGGTCATACAACTTGAAGAGGTTCATTGTAGCTTATATACATAGTTAGAAAATATCGTACATGAAATTCACCCTTTTGTTTCTTCTTGGAATTGTCCTCTTCATCAGAGTTTTTCTTATTTTCGTCGGCATCGCTACCTGAGTTATCATCGTCACTGTCCATCCAGTCATCCATTTCAGATATTTTTAAATCCTTTTCTTTTTTTGTTGGTCTCTTGCTCTTCCCACCTTCCACTATTTCCTCATCATCCCCACCTTCTTCGTCATTTCTCAGTCTTTTTCGTAACATCAATGAGAAGTAATTGATTACTTTATTCCTACGACTAAATTCCTGTTCTGCTTCTTCTGCACTCAATGCTTTATATCTCTGAATGGGTTGAAAATTATACCTAGAAGGTATAAAAAGAGAGATCAAGACAAATGTTCATATTAGGGATTACTTTCTAACAATTTACAATCAAACTTCCCCTTAAATTATCTTACCATTCATGTAATGGAAAAGCTTCTATAGCTCCGTCAGCAGCATGAGTGAAAACATAATAAGCAGCATTTTCACTTACACCGCCTTCTCTTATACCTTTAAACTTTTTCCCTGTTTTTCCACCAGATTTTAAAATCCATGGTTGGTCTTCTGGCTTGTACTTCCTACTAGTAATGCCAAACTTCTTTCTTCTAGCTTCTTCTCTTGCATCTCTTCCAAATTCAGACCCAGCACCAAATTTTGGCATCTCTTCTTCTAGTCCTTTATATTCTTTCATATTATTTTCACGTTCCATCTTTACTTGTGACCATTTTGAAAAATCGACATTTAATGTTGCATTAAAACGCATCACATTGTGTTTTTTCTTATTATTTCTGAAATAGTAAAATATGATATATAGTAAACACAATATATTACGAATTTGTTAATTACATTAAAGAACATAAATTAACACTTTTACATACTTTGGTACTCTGATGCTAAATTCTTGTATAGATGGTGCACCTGAAACCTAAAAAGTGATAGATCGATCATTCATCATGAAAAATGCAATTCCCAAATAATAACCAGGAAAATAAGAATCCTGAATTACGTACATTGTAATAAATCAATTGAGTTTTAGAAATTTATGATTTGGAGTGTGAATCAAAATTTGAGACTACTGTTAAACTTGGACATGGTTAGATTACGACTCTAATATTAAATTTATGTACTGTCACTTTTTGTCACTTGAGTATTACATATAAACAATTTGAAATTCTCTTCTATTAGTTATCCTATTCAGCAATTAAAATTATTTGGATACAATAATTAACAATCAAAACAACTACATAACCTATACTACATTATTATAGATATTTTATTTCACATACCTTTGGAATCGTAGTTGTAGTCATTTTGGTAACCGAAAAAATATAGTTAGCAAAACATGAACACGATTAGGTTCAAGATAAAAGCAAGTTAATTTGAAATCATTCACGTCTAAGTGCTTCTAACAGCTTGTAACAGCTGAGCATGGCAGAGGACGTGGATCACGTGGACGACATTCCGCCATTTTCATGTACGAATTGGTACGAATGTATGCAAGTTAGCCAATAAAAACAACATTCAAAAAAGGGATCATCATCTATATTTTTGTTCTTTTTGTTTTGTTGATCTACTCGTTTTCAATGTACTCCATAAATTTAATTCTATGTATTTCAATATGTTTTACATTTTCCGATATATTAAATACATGGTATCAAATATTATTAAAATAAAGTATATAAAATATTGATCAGATGTATTGGAATTTATTCCTACAACGTAACAACAAATAATCAATAGATAGTAATATTGTTATGCTATTGATAATGTAAAATTTTTTAGTGAAATTGACAGATGACGTATGTTCATAGATTATATGTGTCAGAATTCATTCTTCGAATATAAGAAAATATTTTCAATGAATATTGGACTCGTATGATCATATATCGGTTACACGAGTCGATATTCATTCCTAAAATACAATTAAGCATATTTATCTTATAATATTCTAATCATTGGGCATCATAAATGTTCATAGAGATCAATTTAATATAGGTTAATCACGTTGAAGTCAGATGGTTCTAATCTGCTGCAATGATGTCCACATGTCCACACCTACGTATGGCGTAGAATTTTCTGACTGGTTAACTTCCTCGTAAATGACATCAATTCCTGAGGTTGCATGTGTAACATATAATTTTTTTCATTTTTAAGGAGCCTTCATTATATGTATTGTTACTTCTATTTTTATTTTTACTACTTTATTTAACATCTTCATATAATTTTACTATAGAACTGTCGTTCTAAATAAATAGTAACTATAACTAATATTAAATCCGTATTTATTTGGGGCACAGCACTCCACCATTCCGATGCTGTCAAAAGTCACGTGATTGTGTTACTAGAGTATATCTTATTGGATGAACTGATGTGAGATAAAATAAGTTTTTTTAGAATAGAAAATACGATTCTTTGCATTGCGCGATATAAAATGCAAGTAAAAGAATAACGAGTCAGATTACAGTATTCGATAAAAGTGAGTATAACAGAATCGTTTGATTAAAGAATTAACAAAAAGTTCTATGCATGGAAATTAACATTATTCCTCTTTCGAACGTTGGCAAGCCGTCTATCGATTCTCCCCACGCATACATCTCTTCAGTCATCGATTGCACTTTTTGCACCTGCCATTTTTTTCCAGAGTAATGGGAGCCTCATCTCGAACTACTAGCACGAGGGTGGATTAAAACAGGCTATCCTGACCTGCGAAGCCACCCTCACCCTCTTCGTCTCGATGAATCTTCCACATTCTTTATTTTTCAAAAATTTTTAAAGTGTCTCCTGCAAGAAAAAACAGACAGCAAAAAAAATACACTCGAGAAGTCAAAGTGTGCGACGAAGAAAGAACAACGTTGCTGCCAATAAGAAAGAGAAAGAGGGAGAAGGATAGAAATAGAAGAAGGTGAAAGTAAAAGAGAGACGGCTAGAGGGTGGGTGGTGGGGGGCTCTCGGCTTAGGAGTGAGAGAGACAGAAGAGGTCGAAGGGAGTCGAGCGAGGAGAATGACGGATAGCCAGCAGCAGTTTTGCTTGCGTTGGAACAACTTTCAAGCTAATATCACCAGCCAATTCGAAGCCCTCAGGGATGACGAGGACTTTGTCGATGTCACCTTTGCCTGCGATGGTAGGCGTCTCCAGGCGCACAAGGTTGTCCTCTCCGCGTGCAGTCCTTACTTCAAGGAGTTGTTCAAGGTTAGAAAACCTTCCCCGCCTTGCTTCTCTCTTCAGTGCTAGTTGCTTGATATTCCCCCCTCTCTCTTCCCCTCAGACGTGTATTCTTATATTCTTTGAGAATCATGCTTTGGTTTGGATGCGGATGAAATTACAGTATTTATTCAAATTTTCATGTACATGTGTATGTATGTGTGACACCATGCATGCGTATGTGTAACGTTCCCTGAAGTCACATATATGTTTTACGTTAGGACCCTCGATGTAGCACTTTATTTGTTTATTTATCGATAATTGTTGATAGCTAAAAACATCTAGTATGACAATGTTTCTTCAATTGTGTACAATATATACTTTTGGACTCTGCAAATATATTTGTAATATTTTTTAAATATCCCTTTTTCTTAGAATGAAGTTCTTAATTGAAAGATCAGAAACACTTGCTATATAGAACAGTTGTACATAGTTCATTGTGAAACTGAAAATATTAGATTATTTTACATTGTATTTTTGTCTTTTCTTATACTTTGTAAGTGTTTTAAATTGTATAATTTTCCATATAATATATACATATATTTTAATACTAAATAAAGTAAACTATTTATATGTGATTCAAACACTCTTGCTACTGTAGTATTATAGTATAGTTGTGCTGTTTTAAATTATAATCATGAAGGAATTTTGTTACCCTGAGTTTCGAATGACTAAATAAAGATTCTGCTTTTATCATTAAAAATTAATGAATAATAACATTATTAAAATACAAATTTGTAGTTTCATTTTGATATATGTTGAGTAATATAATAGGACTAAAAAGAGAACATAAATTATGAGGAACCTAATCAGATGAAACACAGGATTCAGGCTTGCTTCTAGTTTAACACTGTAGATTTAATGGTACATACAATAACAATTAACTTAACAATGATCTTTGCAAGTACAGTTAAAATTTTTAATATATAAGAAAAAATTAAGAAATAATTACAAATACATAAAATATTATACTGTAAATATGCCTTTATTAAGTTTACTTTTGTACCTCAAAAACATGTTCTGTATTTAAAATGTCTTACATATTGCCGCATTATGGTTACTTATTCAATCCGGTAAAATTAACATTAATATTATTAATAAATTTCACAATAATTTATAAATTATCAATCTTAATTTTAGTTCCTTTTTTTAATTTTGACAAATTTAACAAATTTCGTTATTTAAATGAATATTAAATTTATATATTGTAGATGAAATTTACCTTTATGTACAGAGTATATAGTAAATATAAAGAACCAATCTGTATAATAATACAAAGAAAAAGAAGAAAATGTCATATACACATAGGTTCACAAAGGTTTCAATACTGACTTACAATCTTTTGAAATTTCACATTATAGGAAACATTCGAAAATGAAGTCTCAGTTATGTAAACATGACCTAACCCACTCAAACATAATATTATAACATGACCAATTGTAGTTAGGTACCAGGTAATAATTACTTTACACATTATTAAACATCATTACCCTAACATTTTATTACTAGATGATATTCCATTAACTGTATGTTCAAAGATATGATAGAAATACTGTTTACTTGAAGAGAATGTATACATATTTTCATTTGTATACGATTGAATGTTGATTTCATTCTTCTCAGAAATAAAGTTACATTTATGTTATCATACCGATGAAAGATTTGTTTTCATTACACCAATTCGAAAAGGGCAAAAGACATTGCATACGTGATTCTTAAAGAATTTTTATTTTTTATAGTTTTTAAAATTATGACTAGTTACTCATGATTCTGTTCTAGATTTTTCTCCTTAAACTTTGTTCTAAAAAGATTCAAAATTTTCTTCTAGATTATGCTGTGAGATTAAAAAGTTAAGAATCACTGTCTTAAAGTTTGACACCTTATTTTAGGAACACTCTGTGTATATGACAATTAATAAAATTTCATATTTTATTTGTATTAGAAAGGTGGATTAACTACATGAAATATATTGCATAAATGTATTTTCATAGACGAATCCATGCAAGCATCCAATAATATTTATGCGTGATGTGGAGTTTGAACATCTACAGTCGCTTTTGGAGTTCATGTATGCTGGGGAAGTTAACATATCTCAAGCAGAATTGCCTACATTTTTACGAACTGCTGAGTCTCTTCAAATCCGTGGACTCACCGACTCTCAAAATATTCAGCACAACAACGAAAAGGTTTGTACTTGAAATTGAATGAGAAATACATTTATAATTTCAGTGCACAAGTTTAAGTTTCTGTTAATAATTTGTTAATATTAATTTGATTGATTGATTTCAGCATTTGAAAACAAACAACATATATGCATCAAATGGTCGTGGGCTGATCTCACCAAGTTTGGATGAGGACCGTAGCAAAACACCACCAGCCTCGAGTCCTCCACCACTTAAAAGGCTGTGCAAACGAAGTGATTCGCCTCAGATATCTAGTCCTGTACCAGCTGCTGTGGCCTGTACAACTGGACCATCATGCACACGGCCATTAATCGAGCCACAGGTTCAGCTCGACTGCTACAAAGATCTTGATATTGTTGAGGTTAGTTTTTGTAGTTCTATACACATCACATCAATAAGATAAAATTTTAGTAATTTACATGAAATATCTTAAATAAAAGTATTTTGTATTATTCTTAGACTGTTGGAGCACTATTTTTTAAAGCATGAGAGAATATATACAGTAATTTCTTTCAAAGTATCACAAAAGTAATTTCAGAACTTTCTTTCGAGTGAACCTACGTGTTACTTCCGATTTACAACTAGTGGTGTCTCATGTTATTATTGAATTACCTTATTGAATTACCAAAACGTAAAAATATCGTTTTTATATTTTTCTAATTTGCCATTATTAGATAACAGAAGTCCATATTCGGCTGAGGCACTTCCGTGCGCCTCGTGTCTCGAACATACAGTATATCAAATGTAGTATACCATTTTTGTTTTTTTATAGTATCGTAGTTTCTACCCGTCCCAGTGACGTTTAGAAAGAAATTATTATATTGTTGAAAATTAATCAACTCAAGATATAATTTTCATTTGTGGGGAAAAAAGAGGATTACGATACTTTTTTATGCTTTAGCCAAAAGTAGAATTACCAGAGTATGGAAGCGACGATGACTGTTCTCCAAAGCAGGAAGTCAACACACTGCCAAGTGGTTTCCTTAGCCTTGATGGTGGCATGGAAGTTTTGCCATCGTATCCACCTTCCTATCAAGGTAACTACCGACGACTTTCAATCATCTCATACATTAAAATTATTTCTACAGATGTAAGACATTTTTTTTTATTGCTGAAAGGAATACTAAATGATATAAATTATTTCAACTTTAAGGGGTATTCTTTTTTTCTAAGTTAAAAGTAAATAATATTTGTGTGTTTTTTTTAGTAATTATGAAGTATTTTGACTTATAATTTTGTTCATATATTTATTCACAAAAAAGATTATAGGGTTTAATTAAGTCGTGTATCACATGGCTTTCACACACATCCTTGTGGTGTAAAATAAATGATTCAAAATTTTATAAAATATTTCATAATATATATTCGTTTATATAGTAGTAGAACGATTAGATTATTTTTATAAAAGGAAAAAATTATTTCAGGTACAGTTTTATGTAACTGTTAATAGGCGTGTGAGATATCGTTTGAATGCAATTGTTACACTGATACGGAATAGATTACGATAAGAATTGTATTGTTATGGCACAAAATTGTTAACAATTAATCGAGTAATTAATTCACGTATAATAACTGTAAAATTTGTTTATTCTATTAAACTATTAACTATTCGACATAATTTTATACGAAAACGTGCAAGAAAATTGACATTTGTATGTGTTGTTTATCTTAGTATGATATTTTCGTCAAAGTTTATCAATTGTGTGAAATACATTTGTAATTGTTCTAGAAAGTTTTCCGTGAAATGTTTTTTTTTTCCAAACATTATTAATAATATCAATTATCATTATTATAATATTCTGTTATTCGAGTAAATCAATTTTCAATTGTAAATTATTATTTTAGGAGGAGGAGGAGCAGGAGGAGGAGGTGGCGGCGGGGGTGGTGGACCATTAGAAGGTGGACTGCCAGGACCATCAAATGTTAGCAATACGGAGCTAAATCAAGAGCAACAAGGTAAGTGGCTACCTATCCCAACCCTAATTCTTTGGTAGTTGCGAGCACCATTACAAACAGCAACAACCTAGCCGATCATGTCGGAGAGAAATTTTTGGATGCGAGTAGAAACATGGAAGGAGAAGGGGAGCCTCGGTTTGAAATGGTAAGCTCGTGTAGCTCGGTAGCTGTTGCTAGGCGGTAGGAGAGAAAAAGAGCGCGTGCGAAAGAGAGAGAGAGAGCGAGAGTGAGAGAGAGATTTGACACTCGGAGGCGATGTTTTGATGATTTCATCCAGGCGGAGTGCAGTTTGCAGCTGTTGTGTGAGAAAGTCAGCTGCGTGTACATACTCGGACTCTACCTTTCCATTTGTTTGCCAGAGTTGGAGGCGAGGTTCAACAGTTATAATTTGTTAAAAACAATTATAGGAAAAGTTTGGTATACATTGGTTTACGTTAAAGATTACTTTTAAAGTAAATATGATTTATTTACTTCTTTAAAGTTTTGTTGATTAAACAATCCTATGGATTCAATAATACTTGAATATGGTCACTTGAAAAAAGAAATGAAAAACTAGTTTTAAAATTTAAATTAACATATCCCTCCGTCTGGTAAACTGCCTGTCCGTTGTTTCCGCGTTTTCCGTTTTCATCCGTTCCAAGCCACGCCAATTGGAAATCGAACGTTTTTAATTAATTAATTTTCACTTCACGAAGCGTTACTTAAATTATGTTAACTTATATTAAAGTATGTTAAGTTTTTTAAACTTTCTATTTTGTCGAATTGGCGTTGTTTTTTCTATACGTCCATGCATATTTCACGATAGAACACCCTACTTTGACATGCACAGGGTAATTCTAGAAACTGGGACAAGCTGTACCTTTTTTTTTAAACGGAGATACAAAACATGCATAGAGGAAAAACTTCAATCCCCATACGGTGTAATTTTTTGAAGATGCGTATAATTTTGTTTGTTTGGTACAACGGGGAAAGTGTACGTACATTTATTTTTGAAATTCAACTATGCATCTTTTGTAGATAACTCGATTCTTCTCATCATTCTGCATATAAAAGTGTTAAGGTATGACCATTGAAAACGTTATACTTTATAACAGTGTTCTCCAGCATAGGGACCCCTCACGTTCTTGTTTCCTCTTTCAAGCATCCTTTCCCTACATAACATACTTCATATATAACATATTATCAGAGTCCTTGCGATCCTAAAGAAGCAACCGTGACAAACTAGTGTCTTCTTTGCAATAAAACTCACAGACACTACGTGCGACGTATGAATTAATGTCGTGCTCAGTTGTCACGGACAAGGAGTGGGAGAACCCTAGAGGACTCATGAGTGTCCTGGCTAGGAGAGCACTGCTTTACGAAGCGTTTCATATTTTATGTTTGTATTCAAAAGCTCATTCCTCATACTGTATTTACTACACTAGATAAAGATAACACGATGACTCTAATAACGAGCGTCACGTAAACATCGATTTATAAACACATTTTATTCACTCCGCAATAGATTTGTGTCTTAAGTTGACTTACTCTTCAGATTTGTGTTATTAACTTCGTCATACTGAATCAGTTTGAAACATATCGTTACAGGTTTTACTAAATAATGAGGAAGTCGATATGATATGCTGCAGCGATATATCGTATCGAATATCCTGATTGAACACAATTACTATGATTACATTTTTATAAATTAAAAACATACCTGGATGAAAAGCTGGTAATGGGAAATGAAGAAACAACATTTCTTCGATATGGAAAACAGCAAATGAAGATCGGCTAAGGTTTCATTTCTCGAATTCTAAAATCACAGAATTTTTGTTTGTGTCATTATTCTATAAGGAAGTACGAGGTATGCGTTTTTGCTAATTTTTTCGTCAAATTGAACAATTTGTAGCTATGTTTTCCGGGTGGTACGGGCGATAAACGATACGATACGATAGCTTTTAAACTACCTATGGCTAAGACGCGGTAGTCTTTTGGAGACGAGTAAACGGCTATAGATAATAGGCTGCAAACATTTGTATAATGACATTAGAAATATTCGGCGGTGGTTCTTCAATCACCAATGTGACGAATTACGTTGAAAACCTTGACTCCACGATGAAGAGCAATCTACTTCTGTGCAGAGCGTTAAGGCGCGTGGAGCCAATTGTTTATTATACCAAAGATCCGAAGATCATTAAACCTTTCGTTACGACGATCATGAAACGAAACGCCGCATCAAAAGTAGTGTAATGTCTGGAGCTGACTTGTTAGCTAGGCACCCACGAACTGAATAACACAGGAGCGGGGGGATTAAGCCTTTCGCTCTGCCTACTCTCCACCAAAAGTTCGTATTCTTATAAACAGTTACCACATAGTAGTAGGATCTCCATACCCGACGGTAATTCAAAGATCCTCAAACATGGGAAACTTCCTGTATTAGCAAAGTATAATTCTGTTTATGTGTTTCTCTCGAAATTGAAGGTATTTTTATTTGAATACAGATCCGAATGAAAATGAAATAGCATATTCTATTTAAATTTTTGTTTACTGATCGATGCAAATTAAATATTTTTATATAGGACATTTTTAATGTCACGTATTGAAATCAGTCTCTATTGAAACCTAAAACGTGACTTGCATCAAAAATGTTTAAGATAGATGGGCTCTAATTAAGGGTTCGAAGAAAGATTAGAATAAACAAGTAATAATAATATTTTAGGCTTGTCACAGTACATAGAACCAAAGCAATTGTTTCTGTAGAATAGTCTCCCAGTGAACTACTTGGTAAATAATAAAGACAAAGAAAGAAAACAAAAATTATTTTGCATTCCAAGGATGCCTATTTTTTCCTAAAAAGTTTATTCGTATATCGTTAAGAGTTTTCTGAAAAGATATTCATGAAGATCATCTGTCTTAGAACAGTTAGCTAACTTCTAGGTAAGCCAAGACTTCCTTATTCCTTTCATCGTTATTTGAGGATCGCGTTTTACTCTGCGATCCTCAAATTCATTCTAAGGATAATCAAGTCACCCTGATGCAATGTGTTTTGCTTTCACTTTGTAACTCTGTTCCTGTGTGTTCCCTCTCTTCGATTGTGTAACATATTTTGTTCACGGCAGTTTCGGATAATTTGTTCAACAAATCAATCCTCCCTTTATTGCTAATGGCTGCTCAAAATAATACTATTCATTGACAAATCAGATCATGCTTAACATATTTCATATAACATATAAGTAGTTTTAAATCATAAATAATGATTTATTATTTCAATTAACTTGTATAAAATACACAAGTAGTTCGTTGATATTTTTCTAATGCTTAGTTCCATTTTGTTCTTTGACAAATTATCAACACGATCTGAAACAATATTATGGTCCACATCCGTGGAAAGATTAGCTTCACTATCTTCCGAAACGCATTAAAACTTTGATATTTGTTAATTCGCGATATTTTTATTCTTTCTTTTTAACTAGATTAATTATAATTTACGTTTGATTACAAAAAACAGTTTATTCTTTTTTAAACGCTGAAAAGACACTAAATGAATTGCAAATCTTTCAAGTTAAAGTTTATATATATATTTCAAAATGGAGAGACCTTTAAAGGGTTAAAAAACAAAATTTTAATTTTGTATGAATTAACAACATGAAAGGTAGGATTAAAGCTAATAGTGTAAGTGTAAGTGCTATACAACTTGAGGATATATAATGGAAAACATATGGAAACAACTTATAAAATGTTTAAACCTTGATAGTGGAATGTTGGAAGACCTGTGAGGATAAAGTAGCGTCTTAACATAAAATATGAAATATCTCGTAAAGTATTGCGTTTGCAATGGTCATGCCTTAACACTCTTACATGCAGAATGGTGAGAAGAATCGATTTATGTAAACAAATCGCATAGTTCAATTTGAAAAACCAAGTACTAGCGCATGTTGTACTTGTATTGTTGCACTAAACAAAAAATTGCGCTATTAAAAGATGTCTCTGCATGGGGGAATCGATTTTTTTCTCTACGAATGTTTTGTATCATCGCTTGGAAAAAGGATAAAGCTTGTCCCAGTTTGTATAATCACTCTGTATAGCAAAACAATTGCTTGATGCTAAATTTTATTGTAAGCTTTTTGGTTGAGGTCCGTGTTTTATTACAGTGTTGTAATTAAAAAAAAATTAATATCCTTGGCTTTACTAATCGTATTGTATTATTTCACAAGGTACACATATGAAATATCCAATAATACAAATTAGAAATTCAGAAAACTGAACTTCTTTTAATTTTTATATTTTGTTATGATTTCGACTATATAGAAATTAAATTTTTTTACATACTTGGCTAGGGAGTAATAACATGTGCGTTACTGTTTAATTTTAGTTATGGAATTTCAATTGATTTAATAAAATAAAAATTACCTAAATTTGAAGTTTTAAATATTATTAAATTATTTGTTTTCGTTAGTATAGAATTGATCTACTATTATTACCATTGATATCATTATTTATAAAGAATAAAAAAGAAAGCGAAAGCTGTATTAAAAGAAAGAAAAAAAAGAATTATCTATTTCTGATTCTTAGTTACTATTACTCGAACAGTAATCGTAATAACTGTAACAGATTTAAAATATTTAGATTGTAAGTTTCAAGCGAAAATTTATAAATGCAAAAGGGTGTTATTGACGAAAAATAATTGTAGAATAATTCCGAAGAATAAACGCGAACTCTTGTGCCTCATGTACCCAATAACAACACGCTTACCATTTGTCTCCGATGTGTGTGCGTTGGTGATGCGCGATGTCGTGGTGCGCATAACAGGTAGCAATGGGATCACAAACAAATACGTACTATTTCTTTAATTTTAAATAATCTATCGTATTGAAAACTCATTAAATATCGAGAAAACTGTATAATGATAGTAATTTGAATATTTTTATAACAAATTCAACGTTACAATGATCAGATGTAAATAACTTCTTAGGTTGAAATCATGGAGAAATTCTTTGAGTTATCACAAACTGAATTCGGATAATAATAAACGAAATTTCGTTGTACTATTATTGTTAAATAACGTTAAAAGTCGAGTTCGTAAGTATTGCAAAATGTATGAAATATATATTTTTAATGTTGGAGCAATTTTCATAAAGTAATATATTGTATCCGATGGATCGTGATTTCTATCGATTAAAATCGAAGCAAGCATATGTTGAATATCAATCCTTGATTAACTAGAGTATTTCGATCGAAGAAGTGATCCCATTGCTAAGCTAGATAGAGCGTACAACAATCGTGCAACTAGGGTTTCTCAGCTGGTTGTTGCTGTCCGGTGGTGGCTGGCAAATCGGAGACACCATCCATAAATCCATTCAGCAAAACAAACGAAAAAAAGATTAACTCCCTTCTCCGTGCTGCCTCTACCGGGTTAGAGCAAGTTGTGTGTGTGTTGCAGCTGACCTACGCAAACTGCACTCGCTGGACCCACGCCCCTGTCCTGTCTGCAACCGCATGTACAGTAACTTGTCGAACCTGCGTCAGCACATGCGCCTGATCCACAACCCTCAGAGTGTCACATGCCCCCTTTGTAACAAGCCATTCAAGACCAAGCTCTACCTGAAGCGACACCTGGTCAGCTTCCACGAGCTCAACGTCGCGGACAGACATCGTCAGGAAGAAATCTACCAACATCAGCAACCGAAAGCACAACAGCAAACTGGAGCGCAGACGCATCTACAAATCCAGACACAACAAACAGATAATGTCAAATCATTTCCTGCGCCCAGAGTACCAACGGAGGAGGGCACAACCGCGGTGACTCTGGAGAACAAGTCGAGATCATTCCAAGACGGTGGTTACGAGGTCAACCAGACCAGTGTCGAATCAAAGCACTTTCAGAGCAGTGTGATGCAATTTGATGCAACATACCACTAATGCGCCTTAGTTTTTTCGGCCCATTTGTGATAGTTTTTTGGTTGAGTAGGATTAATACCAGCAATTTCTGGCAGTCATAAACTCCGAACGGGGGTTCAGCGCGGTTTTTCAACGAAAGACCGAGACGCAGCGAAGAGATTGACCGAGTTTGTGCTGCGATGGATAATAAGAATTTCATGAAATTCTTGGCTAAACAAACATTCGGTTACTCTATTAATTATGTTACGAACGCGTCCTTTATGTTGTATATCGTTTTTGCAGAATTTGCAAATTTTATTTCTATCGAACGTTGAGTAAGTTGTTTTATTTTATTTCTGAGACTTTTTCTCACGTTGCTATTGCAAATTAATATACGGAGTATGGAAAGACTAAGTTTAGGTGATGAAAGAGAGGACCAATGCAAGTTTTGATTCGGTTGATGCTGAAATAATTTCGTTTTTTACCTATTAGCTTTGAAATTGCTAAACCTCAGATCTAACCCAGATCAGAATAATCGGAATCGTTAGAAGAAATCATGAACAACACATAACATTTGTTATCAAAATCTATAGCAGGATCTGTGCTTTCAAATGGTGTGTAACATGATTACATTTATATACAAATTCATTTCAATATGAAATAGTAAACTTGAACAATACAGAGATTATTTTTGTATCAATTTAATGTTAAGTAGTGTGACGAGCGTACAGAGGGTTGCTACTGCGACAAATACCGATAGTTATTCGGATAAAATTTTGAAAATTGATGTGTAATTTATAATGCTGAATTGGACGGTTTAAAAATTAATTTGAAAAAAAAAAAACTGTGTCCGTTGTTTTAAAATAAATTTGGACAAGGGACCGACTTACAGAATCCATATTTTTATTTGCTCGATACTTCTCTGAGAATATATAAACGAAAGTACAAATGGAAATCGCCATTGTACGTTTGATTTTCTCAGGATGTTCATGTTCAGCACAAAGCATAAGTGATTAGTGAGAATAAATACTTCTAAAGAAGACATAAAATGATTTAAAATAGTGAGCAATCAGACATCACTCAATTGAACGTCATAAATTACATAATAGTAGTTACAATTTTTAACATTTTATATCGATAATTATTGGAAGGATGACTGTTAATACGGTACCATCCCCTAAATGCTTGTCATTTACTTAAAATATTCGCATTGCTTTCATCACCTAAATGACACTTACTTTTTTCACTCTCTGTATAGTTTTATGTCTTTTAGAGTATCGTTCAAGACAACGTAAGACAATATGTTTCTTCTTGTTGCGTTTTTAATTACAATTTTATTCAAGTGCGGACAAACTCTTTGTCTATATTTTTATTACGTCGGAATCGTTAAAAAAGTGTAAGTTGTTTACATTCTTACAATCTGGGAAGTAATTATGTCTCAGTTCTATCAGAGTTTGCAAAAGGTTGTTGTGTTTTTAGAAATTTACATTCACCTAAATCGAAGATAAAAGTTTTAAGGATCAGTTGTAATATTTAATTTGTCAACAAATTTAAAGCATGGTAACAAAATCAACAGATCTTTGTTAACGCGACGGTATAATTTTAGTTGGAAATCCATCCAGCACTTTACTAGAAAAGTCAATCTCTTTGCGGCGTGCCACGATAACCGATAAAATGAAAGTTCTTGAAGGACAACTCGCAAAAGGTGCCGTGCCTATTCGTCGTCATAAGGAAAAGCGAGAGTATTTCTTAAACAAACAAACAAACAAACAAACAAACAAACAAAACAAAATGAAAGAAACTACAAACAATTACCGCAAGTGGAGCAGCCATCCCATCTCGTACTGATTATTCCGCGAGCCAGGATAACTTGTTGTTTTATTTGATGCTATACAGTGTTATATAAACTACAGATATTTACAACGATATTATATTCTTACAGAGGATTATATTTACTTTATTGATTACGTCACACGACTGGGTGACACGCACAGAAACTCCCAGGATGACGTACGAACATATTATAATATATTTTTCACCACGTAGCAGTTTAACGGTGCGATAGACAGCCAACCGATTTTACAGCTCAAACAGATTTACAGAGGATTTATTATTGACAGTTATCGATGGGAAACCACCGTGATACAGCAGATTGACCTTAATATATTATAAGAGGCTCGTGTCCGAGGTGGCTTTTCTTACTAACTCTTTGACAATGCTCTAATGTGATATTATAGAGCTGAATTAATAATCTTTTCTTAACTTCGGTACGTTAATTCGATCTTTCGTTCCTTAACGGATTTTCATTTTCATTTTTTTCTTTTTCTTTACGTAATCGTTTTATATTTTCCTGTTACCGTCAATATTACTTTACTTTGTTTCTGTCTTCACTGTTAAGTTTTTAATTTGCCAATGACAAATTTGCTTTTAATGGCATTCATTTCGAAAGTATTTTTAGTTTATTCATTCTCCTTTCGAGGAAAGAATTTATTATAGACATTGTCATCATTATTCTAATTTGTTTAAGTTTATTAAACATCGCTGTTCATTCCATTTACATTTTATAAACATGATTTATTGTTAAGTATCGTAAAGGTATTACTTATATCAGTTTCTTTCAAATTCTAATGAATTTGTTCTAGAACGGATTCGCTTATTCTTAATTAAACGAAAGTCTTTGTTACCTTTCCATTGTTCTTCTTTTTTCTTTTTATTAATTTCCTTAGAGTTTTGATATTTTTCAACAGATTATTAGATATTTTATTAGACCTACAGTAATCCATTATTAAGGTATTCCTATGTTGAAGATACTTCGGTTTTTGAGAATACTTTTTACGCGCACAATATAGCAATATTTTAAGGTACTGGTTAACATTGGATCACATGTTGCAAAAGTGGCTACGTACCGTAGGTCGCATCAATTTTTATACGCGAATTAAACTTTGTTCATCAGTATCTTACATATTCTACAATGATAACTGACAACTGTACAATATTGTTACGTACAACAATCGTACGTAAAATTAGGAATCACTTGACATTTTTATTTCCAACAAAAGCTTCCGATGCAAATTATTTCTATTTATTTGAAAGTACGAAGGGAAAAGATAGAGCCATCTCAGACATTGCCGAACTCCATAGCCATAGTACCACACAGTACAACTCAGGATCTTTTATATTATATTTTACAGATGACAATAGTTCTGTGAGCGCGATAGACTCGACAAATTTTTCGCCGTGTACAGAGCCTAGGTTTCTCAATAATTTAACACACATTCAAATAATTATTGTTCTCACAATAAACCCAGGTTATTTTGAATTAATATTAAAAGTTTCGTTTCACTTAGTATTTGTAAATTGATCGAGTATCGATTTATTCGTTAATTATTTTCTGAACTTGCAATTTTAACTTAACTATTTAGTAATTTCCCGCCAAGTATGAATGTATACGAATCGTTTACGTGATTGTAACCGAATGACGTCATTATTCGTATAGTTTAAAAATGATTGAACATTTTTGTATAGGCTCTGTACTCAGGAATTATCGAAATGTTTCTCGATTTAATCGCGCCCTTCACACAGGCTCGTTACCTCACGATTTACAATCAAATCACAGATGCAGCTATATATTATTATAATAAGTATATTTACATACCGTTTTACAACAGTGCCGGGGTCGCAACGACTGTGACTAATCAAATTTGAATGAAAAAAGCTACACGCATTGATCACGAAAGAGATGGGGAAAAAACAAACTAATACCAATTTTTTCGTCTCGTACGTGAACAGGTTTTCGTTTGATCGTTACGTAAGGTTTTCCGAGGATTTTTCGATTCTTTTTTTCAACACGTGAAACAGAGAGCTTCGTGCCCAGCGCATAGTTTTTACTGAATCTAAGATTAGAATATAAATGTTGCATATCATGTTATTAAGATTGTTGTACAGACAGCCTGTTGCAAATCTCGGTCTATGGATTTTCTCTCGATTTCAGTGTGTAACTTTTATTTTCACTTACACATTTCTTCGTTTTAGTTTCATTGAAGTTGCAATTAATTCGTTAATATCAGTTAGTACAGATACAAGAATAAGGGTTCAATTTTTAATGTACGAGTATTTCAAAACATATGGTACTTAATATTTCTAACATTTAAAATGGAATGAATTTTTCTTGGGTTTCATGGTACAATTTGTACAAAAGATTCGAGCAGAAAATTGTATTCTTTTCGTTGAAAGTTAGAGAAACATTGAAATATCATGAATGATAAATTTGAACTTAATTTTCGTTATTAATGTTACCTAGTAATAAAGTAAGATAATAATAAATAATAAGACTAGTATTAAAAATTAATAGGGGTTATCTGAAATTAACAATTACAAGTTGTTAATTTTAGGTGGATTTTATTGATTAATAGTAATGTTTATTTTTTATTTTTTTTTTTTTTTAAGTAATTATACGTGTCTTTTGATTCAAGCAAATTATTGGTTAAAATTTGAACCTTATTGTTTAGAAGTACCCAACTATGGTTTAACTTTACAGATGTTTTCTATCATTCTTATTTGTATACTGCATAATTTTAAATTTAATACGTCATCGATCGAGTGGATCCTTAGACCGACATTCATATACATATACATATATCTCACTTACATATAAACCACAATCAAACAGCGAGCCGCAAATGTAGACAAATAAAAATGGGACAAAGCAAACGAACGCAATAACTGCGATTCAAAACCGAACTAATCGAAACGAGGCAGACAATTACAGGGAATCATTTTTTCTTTTCTAACTTGCAATCTTTCGCTGGGCATTAAGAGTGATATACCGATCAGCCGATTAGTTGATTCATTCAAATATTTAAACAGAAAACACAGTTTTTCCAATTTTCCAGCCGAAACCGCCGAATAATCATCTGATTAACAGCAAGAGTAAAAAGTTACAAATTCAGTGTTTAGAAAACATTCGTGTTAAGGGATAAAGTCACCTTTTCGCAGGATTTTTAATTTTTTTTTTTTTGTTTTGTTTTGTTTTGGTTCCGTTTAATCGGTAGCCGATTTGAAAATTGGAAAGTTAAAACGCTTTCTCGAGTTTATACGATAAACTTGGAAAACGATTACTTGGAAACAAGATTGGAGAGTGCTAATGAGAAATAAGGCTCGAGTTATGCGCGAGTTAGAGGAACGTTTGTCAGCGATTGCTATGTGTTTTCAGAGTGACAGACTCTCGTCTAACTTAGACTAAACAATGGATTCGACATTAGAAAGTCGCAGCACTGGAAATTGCAGTCGAGAGTTAGACAATTTGAAAACTTTTAAAAATATATTTAAACCTTTTAATCGCAAGATTAAAGAGGAAAGTCGATAAACAAAAGAATTGTCTGGGTTGGAACACTTTTACGACTGAGGTGAACTAATGCAACAAGATGTAGAAGGTTTCGATTTGAAAGCCATAAACTTTCTAATTTTCGATTCAACTATCTTCTTTTTAATTAATCAGAGAAACGAAAGCATAAGAACAAATATTCGACGAGTAGCTACGGATATTAACATTCCCATTATTCATCGATCGATTCATTCTAATTGTTATTTATTCAGCGCATATGGCATAATTATTCAAATTTATCTTTAAGATGCATTTGAACGAATTTTTCGATTAAAATTGTAGATTTCATATTGTTTTCCTCTTTCTTTTTTTCAAGGGAAGTGCATTTGTTTTATTTGTTGTATATATTGTACATTACAGCGATTCGTGTACTCGAGTGCTAGTAATTAATTATAGAATTAGAATTAGAGGTAATCGAAAGAGGGAGTTGGTTTCTCGTTCGGAACATTTTAGTTTCTTTTTGTTTCATTTCGAAGAAATGGAAACTAGATTTTATTATTACTCATAAGAATGAAATCTAGTCAGATGAAAGTTTTGCTAAACACTTTGATAAGTTTCAACAACTTTCAGAGAGTTGCGTGAAACGCGAGAGGAATATACAGTACATACGTGCTGTTATTTTTTAACGATAAATTAATCTAATCACGTTTATGTTTATTAATTCGTAAATGTTTCACTGCCGGTGAACATTTTTTTCAACATTTAAAAGCAGCGATGGTCATGTTCAGAAAATTCAAACATTTTTCTGTGCTGGCAAAAAAGACAAAATTTGTCAGCTGGTTATGTATTAACCCTTTGCGCTTCAAACAATTATACATTGGTAATTAATTTCAAGGAGTTTTTCTCCTTAGAATTCTTAGTTACGTAATGGCCATGAAAAAAGTTTTGCCAATCTGTTAAATTGTATAATTTCGTCTTCTTTAAGCTTAAAATATTTATTTATCGAACATAAGCATATATAAATTAACTTTGTTGACTATCTGAATTGTATCGTTAGTCTTAAGAGTGCAAAGGGTTAATTTCGATTTTGTTTCTTCTTGAGGAATAAACCAATTGTGATTATATTTGACTAAACATTTTTCTTTTATTTCTTGACACCGCGTGCAGAAAAGAAAATTAACTTTAATATTTTTTACGTGACGTTTAACGTGATACTAAACGAAAGGATAAAAATCCGTTAGATGAAGAAAAGTATATTTTGAAATGTACTTTACTGAAATTACGACCGAAGAATTCGCAAATTATAATACAAGTTAACCTCTTGTTTAGCTTTCTCTCTCTCTCTCTCTTCTCTTCTCTTCTCTTCTCTTCTCTTCTCTTCTCTTCTCTTCTCTTCTCTTTCTTCTAACACCTATGTCTGACATCATTCTTGTGTCTAAGGAATTTTCTACTTGATAGGGTACACAAACGACCAGTATTTCACTATATTTTTTAATAGTGATTTTTATAACTGTAAAGGTATAGTGTGCGTGTGACAAATATAGCGATCATGTAAAAACTGTAGGTTACCAAGATAGTAGACCTTGACTTGTACAGTTTATGAGACAGGAAGCAGTATCGCCACGTAATTCTTTAAGAAAAAAATCTTTTTTTAACAAGACAAAGACTCAAAGTTTTTTGAGAAAATAATTGTAGATCGTTTTCCTATAGTGAAAAACAATTGATACCCGGTATCCAACAAGATTGTCTCGACGGATCGCTCGTGTCTGATTTAGATCGCTAGATTTGCTCCACCAGTTATACAGTAATCGATAGTGCAATGTCCCGAGTGTAAGTGTAGTTAGTTCATCAGTATTAAAACTCCATAGGGTTACATGTAATTTTCACGTAATTTCCTGCTATCTTATACTTCTTGCTAGACTTGTACGTGAAACGTATTAATGCAGTTTCATATAAAATTAAAAATTCTTCTTTCGTTCACAGTTCGAAGTGCGAACCATTAGATTAGCGTTTAACTTAGAACAATAGCTGAGTGGTTTTAATTATGAATGTGATCGTTTATCAGTTTCGTTGTGTACGCCGAATTTACGCTTCGATTATGTACAATTTTTACGATAGCTTTGCGCAACAACTGAAACTGAAATACTGAAAACTAAAGCCTTAAAGTATAACTTATCAGTCTATTCATTGCCGAAGTGATCGATGAGCAATTAGATATTAATCGTATACTTAAAGGTATCAGTACACTAATGTCGCGTTAATTGATAATGTATAATTGGATTATTAATTGGATTGCAGCGGTGAAATTCTTTCGCGAAATGTTCCGCTTTAAAGTTCTTTTTTAAATTAAATTGTTTCATGTCGAATAACTTTTAATTCATTTGACAGCGTACGTACGTATTATTGTGACGAAATGTATCAATTAATAAGAGATGAAAAATGCTGACGAAATTTGTTTTATGTTAAAAAATTGGATTATTGCTCATCTATTGAGTGATATATACCATGTGTCCTGTATACCATTATCGTATGATGTTTACTTTACATCCAGTGGTGTTAAAAAAAGAAAAACATTGTTTTACAGTGTTGTATATTGTAAATTTTGATAAATCTATCAAGGTGGAAGATGTTTACACGCACAGACGACAGTGTTTTCTACATCGTGTGTTCATAAACATTTACATTATTAAACATTGAAGATCTAATTACGAAAATTAAGAGATATTTACTATCAATATGAATTTATATTCACAATTTATTATTTTAAATTACCTTAAATTCTAGATGTTATATTTTCAAAAAAATGTTATAATGTTGTGTAGGAAAACATCGAACCCTTCAAGAATATTGTTATATACGTATACTTTAGTTTTCATTATTTAAAACTTTATAACATGAAAATATTCTCTTTTCAGTCAATATCATTTGGATTATTGTACACTTCAGACAAAACAATTTAATTACCCTATTTATTAGTGCACGTAACACACACGACAATCCGAACGATTTCTGTTCTGACAATTATTTTGGATTACTGTCTTTTAAAATAGTGTTAGTGTACGTTACTCTTAGCGAAATCATGCAACACTGTAGAAAACATTTTTTTTTTTTTTTTAAATACCAAAGGTAGAGGAAATATTTCATAAGATAATGGTTGTTTCTACATGTACATACAAGGTGTTCAAATTAACAGGGCTCAGACATGTGCGACCTTTCGTCAGGATAACTCATGGCAATACTAATCAAAAGTCTGTTTTCCACATTTGTGATCATTTCTAGTAATACAGTAACGTCCCTCGGGTTGAGACGAAGTGATTCCCCGTCATTTTGACAGACAGTATATCAGGTTGCAAAAGCTGGCTTTGACCATTTCTCAGAGATCTCTACTATTTCATACTCTTTTACCCAAAATAAAATTTGGGGAGAGTGGCAAGAGCAGATTGAATTTCAATTCCTTTGTCCACCGAGTTGAGACAACATGATGGTCCCAACTTAGTCTCAATCTAATGGCCAGGTAATTTACTCTGTTAATTTACAGGCCAAAGGTTGCAATTGTATCTTAACTACTGATATAGTAACGAAGATCTCAGATTGAAAAGTGGTAGATGACTATTTCCTTGTTTATGAGAAATGAAACCTGAGGAAACTGCTTCGCGTGTTTCTGAACACCTTGTATAAATTCAAGTCTCATTTGGGTCTTTCCACGCGACCATCTTCAAACTTGCTCTATTTCGAGGGAGAAATTTGTTGGCACTTCTAAAATCAAACTTCATTAATCAGAATAAGAATGACTGGAATCAACACATTCTTGCCAACGTGAAATAGATTTGTTTATTCAAATTGCATAAATTACGGGGTTTTGGAAGGAGTAAATTACACCATAAGTTTACAAAAAAAAACTTGGGTTAAAAGCATCGTTGATTTTACGAGATTTTTTCGATGTTTTACTGTTCAGCCTGAACTCTTATGAAACGATAGTTCGAATTTGCTTCCTCTCCATAATTTATGTAACGGTCTAAATGAAGCATACATTCACGAAAAAGACTACGATATTTTTAAGTTGCATATAACACGATCACCTTTGCATAGAAATTTATTACGGTATAAAATGGTAAACAGGAAAACAGATTCTTGTTGATTTGCACGGTTTTTTGAACTGGAACACGTTCGATATATTTTCTCTATACTTAAAACTCCGAGAAAATGCAACAAGAGAAAATCAAATTTGTGGGATGTCTTTAAATAACATTTAGGTAACCAGAAAGCAAAGAAAAAATAGCATCGGTGGAATCTGAAATCGCCTAAATTTGGAACGAAATATAGGCCAACAGCATATTTACTCGAAATAGAATCGAAGGTTTGATGACAATCGCGTGGAAAGATAGAAGTGGGACACCTGTGATTATTAATTTAAATATACATTGTTATTGACAGTATTAGTACTCAAGGCTTGGAATTAACGTTAACAAATTTCGGTTCGACGTCTACGCTCTTTGCTATGATTTCGACAAGCTTTACGAATAAATTCAAGGTAAACATGTAAATATTGTTTCTCCTCGGTTATCATTCTCGGCGTGGTGTTTATTTATTTTCGGCGAATTTTCAACTTGCGTATCGTTTAAGAAATGAATAAGAACTACTTTAGCATAAAGTAAGCACTACTAATAAGATATTTATCGATTAATGTTTATCTTGAAATAATGAAAAATTATCGAGCTGTAAATTATAGCTTTCTGCGTTAAATAAGATCCCGGTTGTTAATTTCAGTGATAAACAATTCACCGAACGAGAATCCAAGGTGATATAATGCAATACTTTTTGCAAATCTATTTTGGGAAATCCTTTTTTGCAAACGAACGCGCGCACGAAATTCAAATTAAAACCGGAACTACAACTTGGCAAATTTCGCGACAAAATTTTTATTGTACATGTTTGACGGAACAAAAAGTTTTGCAAAAAATGGATACCATTATTCTTCAGTATTTTTCGCAAAGAATTCGGAAGATTAAACTCCAGACATTTTTATGGCCAATTGAACGAATTGAATTAAATCCGCGCAGAGGGAAAGCAATAGGAAACGTACCGTTGCAGACATTTTTGCAACGATTTGGGATTATTGTATTCATAAGATTTTTAAATCTCTAAAAATAAAAAAAATAAAATATGGATAAATCTTGAAACCTTCGCGGAGTAATTGTGGATATTGAAATAAAAAATCTTGTGAATAAATAGAAGCTATTGTTCTTCAGAATTTTTTGCAGAAGCGTATAAATAGAAAGTTCCACGAATTTTCGAAGAAAAGGAAAACGAGAAATTTTTGAACTACGAATGTATGCAAAAGTATTCCAAACACAATTGCAGTTATTAACGAACAAACAAAATATTGATCTCTGAATGTAAACAAGAGCTAAAGAGGGGGAAGTACAATTTTCGTGAGAACATGAAAAAAGGTATACTTAAACACGTTGATAAGGCAACGATACGAGGTGCCAGGGTATCTGGAAAGAAATAAAGTAAAATGTTTTTCAAAATTCACCAGCTTTGCATTCCAACGTGTTATGTTTTGCGAAACAGTGAGAACATTGCAACTTAGAACTTTTGCAGAGAGTCTGAAGAAGATTAGGATTGAACTGTTTCTTGCAAAAGAACAAAAAAAAAAAAAAAACAAATATCCGATGTATACCGAACATTCAGTTTCAAGCGAGTTATAGTAAATATTATACCTCAAAATATTTGCAACGGATTACAAATGATAGATTCAAAAATTTTTATAGAAAAATCATAAGAATTAGATTGTAGAATTTTTACCGAGGGCTCGGAGGTAAACCAGACTTCTAGGTTTTTTGCAAGATAAAAAGATATTTCGAAGCATACGTGAACGTGTTTACTTGATAATTGCTGAGAATAATCTCGTAGGATATTTTCGGAATTTCAGCCGCAATAAACGCAAACTAATAATAATAATAATACCAAAAAAAAATAAAAAAAAAAAACTTGAAGCATAGCGTAGAAATTCTTTGTACGAGAATTAGTTGGAGGGATATTTTTAAAAAAGTGAAAATTCGAAGTCTGGGACACTTTACGGACGTCTTTTTTGCAAAAAATCTACGAAGTTAATTTTCCTGTAGTTGCGCAAAATAAAGAAGTCCATACATAAGGCGCTCAAGTTTATATTAAAAGAGTATTTCTAAAATTTCTACGAAGAATGAATAAAATTAACAAGAGAAAAAGAAGGAATCGGAATTGAAATTTTCGACATATTTTCTCAAAAGTTTGCATGTATATGTGTAGAAGGAAAAACACCGAGTGTATTTTCTTCGAATTTTCTCTCTTCTGACGTAGAAATTTATCTTGCTTTAATCTAAGTAAATTTATTTAGTAGGGCATATTATTGTATACTGTCCTAAGTGCATAGCATACACACACATACATTCATACATACACACCATAATAATAATAATATTTCATAATTATTCACACAAACGACTGAATAATCGTTTACTTTTTTCTGTTCTAATTATCGCTACGTGAAAGAATACTAATGTCTACGATAAGAAATGAAAATAAGCTTTTGTACTTACAATTACGAGAATTTCTGAACAGATAATTGCAATTTTCTTCTCCGAATGAACGTTTCAGTTTTAAGGAATCGTTTAGAATGAAACTTGAAGCAAACTAACTAATTATGTGATTTTCTAGTATTTTAGTTAAAAAGTGGAACGAGTTTTTTCGTTTCGAATGTAATTTTTTTCAACGATTTCAGGTAAATTAGTTTCAGATGAATTTGGTTCGAATGTGTGTGATAAATACTAATAAATAGTGAATAAGTATCAAATTAGATTGGTAAATTATTTTTTTCAAGATATCAAATTACCTTTACCCGTTTACATGTGATTTGGTTCCGAACATGTAAAACGGGTGGATCGATAAATAATCGAATAGGTAATTAAAATGTGCAATTATCTGTACAGGCTGATATTCGCAATGAAACCACGGAAGAGAACATTGTAAACATTTTGCAGTCTTCTATGGTACTTTACATTGATTTGCGTGAAGACATTTTTATAGATGATTCTTCAAAGTAAATGATTAAGCAGTGGTCGTAAACAAAAATGAAAATAGGAATGCATGAGAAACCACTGATTAATTGTTGTTAACTTAGTCAGTTTGGCTTCATTCTTACAGAAGTTATCATTTATTATTAAGATAAGCATTTAAACTATCCACGAACCGTCGATGAATGTATGATACAACTTCTTAGTTAAACATTAGGACTGCAAAATGGTTAAAAGGTTTTTCGATAGAGTTCCTTTTCCGGTCGCTTATTAAATTGCTTATCTAACTTATTAATCGCTTTATTGGTTAATCCATTTATTAAGAAGGTGTATTGACAGCAATATTTAAATAAACAATTCAATAAGGAATGGTTATTTAATCGGATTTACGCTGCAAAAATTTTAGTTGTTTGCGAATATCCAGTCACGATAATAGAATGTTTAAATATTTCGTATTATTTTAAGTTCCTATTTTTGTTCGGTTCTTCGTTTTTACTGTTTAAGCTAAAAATTGTAAGAATAAATGGCCGTGTTTTTTTATTCGATTTGTGACATTTCTAAGTACGTATCGTGTTCGCAAAACTTAAAATCACTCTGAACATCGAAATGAAAATTTTTTATTAAGAGGTGAATCGTTGTGAAATTTTTCCAATTCTAATTTTTTTTTTTTTTTTTTTTTTTTCTTTCAAAAATATGAGCTCACTCTGGATGACTTATTCTTGGAACGAGAGTTCTCATCGTTATCATTCAAATTGTCGTAAGTCTTCCTACTTTATGAGAAAATATTTTATGTTGGATTTAATGAGAAGCCCAGTAGGATTTTTGTATTTTGTAATAATACGTACGGATATTTTTAAATGTCAAAGACGTCGATGAATTTAGTGTAAAATATTTTTCTGATACTCCGATTCGTATTATCGCTACATACCTAAAGTACTCTTCCATAGATAACATTGCTTGATGTTATGAAAAGAATAGCAATCGTCTTTGACATAACTGTTTAGTCAAGGTGGTATCATTTTTTATATCATTATAATGTATTTCGTGATATTGAGATCCTTCGTCAAATTATAATTCTTTTAAATTTAAATCTAAGTGAAAGGAATCGTATTATACTACGAGGGTTAGGCCACTTTGACACCCTGAAGCATCGCCTCGTTTTGTCATTTTACTTCTCGGTTATGGTAGAACTTGGAAGAAATCTGGTGAAATGCATTTATTACACAAATCTTAAAGTACATCAAAATATTTTTTTTTGCTTACGGTCTTTTAAGAAATAAGTAAATGTTTAAAGCAAACATTCGATTATTTCATAGTTTTAAAGTGTGCTAACTCCTTAAGATTTTGTTGTCACGTTAAGTCGTACTAAAATGGTTTTCACGGCACAGAAATAACGAATAATACGTAAATTAGTTTCGATTGAATTTTATCTATCGATGTGATTACTTTTACCGTATGAAAAACAACTGTCCGATTTAACTTACGAATGTCGACTCATTTCGAATCTTACTACCTTGAGATTATCGAAAGGAAAATGAAATTACTTGCCAGTTGGTCTCAAATCGAATAGAAAGACGCCTCGAAAGTCAAGCATTTGTAATCGGTTCTCATAGAAAGAATTACTGCTTGCGCGTAAAGCATTATTCGACAATTAATTAATTGAAGAGCAGGCTACTTAGTTGGGAGACTAAACTAGCGTTAACAAACTTATCGGTTAAGTGTCTGTGTAAGTCTGATATTAAGTGGTTTTCGTTTCCGTTCCAATTTTCTACCAGTTCGGACTCCCTTGTGAAATATACATATAAACAAGACTTAGAGAAACACTTTTCTTGGCGAAATAAAGGGTGTTTCGAGAAATTAACGATAGATATTTAAATATAGGTAACTACCGAGGTTGGGACATTGATAACGAGTACACGTGCCGATACGCGTTTGTTTACAACAGTTTCCACTGTTCTTCGATCGGTGTATCGATATCAATGTTCTGATTTATGTTAATTGTATGCGACTCTTTAATTGTCAGCGCGAAGATATCAGTGAATAAAAGTATTCAGATTTGTACATCAACCTCGATATTCTTATTTCATGTTTCATATTTTCATCAATTCTACGTTAAGGAAAGAGTAGTTTATTACTCTTAAGAGTCGATTCATCACGTGTGAGATTAATTAGAAATTTAGACGAATGAGGGACTCGAAAGTGGCCCCTAAAACAAATTCGATAGCTTATTGAGAGAAAAAAATAATACGTGGCAGATTTCAAGTCTGTATCTTGAATGGCTTTTAATTGGGGAGGAGATATTCCAGTACTATCAAACGACAAATTTTGAACACAAAAAATCGGAGACATTTCGGATAAGAAGATGTACATTATGGAATATTTTCAGATTTTTTTGATTAAAAAATAGTAAAACACGAAAGAAAGGTGAAAACTTTCAAGGATGCTATAATTATATTTTTGCAGTAATAGATATCACTGTTAATTTTTGTTCAGATTATTAGCATTGGGGCGTCATTGTTAACAAAATTAAAAACCGATACTTTCGTCGCTTTTTGCTTGTTAGAGTAACTTACCAAGTCGATATGTAGTACATTCTTTATCTAATTAGCGTTTTATGTTACATTGAATGACCTTCGTAGAAATGAAAGAAACTAAATAAACTCAATCTATAAAAAATATGTTCTGCGCGTTACATTTCTAAAGTATTTGCTATAATTTCAACAGTAATAAAATAAGTGTTCTGCCTTTTGGAAAACTTTGACACGAGTATTAGAGAACTCGTTAGCAGCGAGTTAGAAAATTGTCCAAAACAACAATCGTCAGGTCATGACTCGCTCAGGTATGTTTCATAGCTGGTCCTGTACTTGAATATTTCGAACGAAACACATAGTATATATCGTTGTAAAAAACGACGAAGCAAATGACCGTCTGCTAGAAAATGTAAAAGTAGGCGAAAGTTTCCTTCTTTAGGTACTACTACATTTCCACTCTCAGTCCCTGTATCAGAAAAAGTAGAGTTACTATATTTATCGAATTTTTATCTTCATAATTAGGATCATAACAAGCCTAGAATTTATTACTTAAACAAAGATTACATATTTACTGTTGGCCAGTGTCATTACTGAAGATCGTTCTTCTCTTTCTGACCCCTTTCTCTTTCTTTCGCTCTTTGACTGTGAAACTACACGGAAGTTGAATAAATTATTGAATTAAATTCATGTATCGTCTCGCTAAATTCGTCTGTTACTCGAGATATTTATATCTGATAGTTCTTAATATTAAATAATATTTATGATATGATACGAACTACGCAAACACGCGCTGAAATAAAAATTGAACAAAACTCTGCTAGTTGATCAATTTTTATTATTCGATGAAAGAATCAATGAATGTTTATGAAGGTAGAATGTCTGAGAAGAGAGTGCTAAATTACCGTAACATATATCGCATGAAACTACTTGTTCAGGTCGAAGAGTACGTCGCGGCAGGCCGCGACTTGGAACGAAGGGTGGAAAACATGGTTCCCCATCCGTGCAGAGTAACTCACCCTCGAGGAGTGAATGGCTACCTTTAGACATGAGAACCACACCTCCTGCTGCGATGCCTGCCTTCCGTGGATTCGAGGAGTCCTCCTCAGACGGGGTGGTAAATGTCTATAATTTTTCATATTTATTCAACTCCAATGTCCGCGGATTAACCCTTTCCACTAGGGGTCTTTTATTCTGGTATCTGCCAGCAACTCGACATGCTTTCTTAGCATTCTATTGCCACGAATGCTACGGTTAGATTGACTTCGAAAACGAGATCACTAATTTGAAATTTAAGAATCAGGTCACCTTTGCCTCACTCATTCATTGACATTTCGAGTCCCAAAGAAATTAAACCTAAACAAACATTATTGCTGGTTGATTCGATGCGTTAAACCTAGTGCTGCCTTAGAGTCACCTCTCGAGTGCAAAGAGTTATTATTACATATAATTAATTAAGGGATGAAGCCTATCTAGGGTGGTTCAAAAAAAAAAAAGGTGCATGTTTGTGATTTGTTTTGGGGATTAACAGAAAATTTCCTGGTAATAAGATTTAGGAATTCGAAAGAATGTTTCTTAATACATGTAACGGAATTTTTGTATTTAATAATATTTTAAATTAACAAAGTTACGGCGAATGTATTATGGTAG